AATGATGTGTCCTCATTAAACTAGAAGAAGAATGATTTGCCGCAATTTTCAATCTTTGACCCTGCATTCTTCAACTTTTTTATTTATTACTTGGAGGAGGACATGGATAGAATGTTTATTTTTCTTTATGAGATTGGCAGAGACACAACATTTGATAGGAGAGTTAATAACCTAGAAGGCAGAAATAAAATTAAAAAAATGATCTTATAGTGGGAGAAGTGGGCTGAGAAAACAACTGAATAAAGATAAATGTAAAGTTTTAAATTAGAACATAGAAATATAATGCCTAGATATAGGACAGTGAATCCATGGTATTTGTGAAAAAGAAATCATGGAATGGTAGTTGTTTGCTAGCAAAAAGCTACAGGAGTTAACATGGTTCCAAAAAATACAAATTTTGAGTTGTATCAGTAGAAGGTAACTTCAAAATCAGGAGAAGGGACAGCATAGTCTGCAGCTGGATAGTGGGCAGAGCAAGAGGCTCAGAAGAAATCCTGCCTAACTTCTTGAGCTGTAAAGGAGATGGCAGGAGAATTGCCAAACTTGCAAGGTTGATGTCAGCCTTACCAGGTAAACCAGACAGGACACATGACCAGATAAGATACAGTAATTCTACTTTATTAGAGAGATACATTGATAGAATATTGAAAGTCTGAAATTTCAATCCTACCCCCATCCCCATCTCCGTTACAGCTTGAGAAACTAGGAAGGATCCATTCTGAGAAGATTGCCCCACTCACTGTTCAGCTGTGGGTTATGCTATCTCTTGTTTGTCGATTCCCTAGGCTGAAAAACTAACTTTGCAACCAGTCCTTGAATGTAGTGATTGTCACATAACTGAGATTTGGGGGGCTTCCGAACTACGTAGTGGGTATTTATAACCAGCACATTGTCCTGCAGTCACACGATTGCCATTTGAGAGCTGAGGTGGCACAGCAGTTAGAGTGCAGTACTGCAGGCCACCTTAGCTGACTGTGTTCAGCAGGTCAGCGGTTCAAATCTCACTGGCTCAAGGTTGACTCAGCCTTCCATCCTTCCGAGGTAGGTAAAATGAGGACCCAGATTGTTGGGGGCAATGTAAATATATATATACATTGCTTACTGGTGTACACCGCTTAGAGAGTGCTTGCACTTAAAGCGGTATATAAGTCTCATGAATAAATAAATAAATAAATAAATAGATTTGGGCACTTCACAGCCAGCTTCTGCCAAATAGAGTCAATGGAGAAGTCAAAAGTAAAACAGCAAGTTGCAGCCATGTGATATCTTGCTTAATGCCTGTGAATGATTTGCTTAATAACCATGGTGGAAATGAAATCATAAGTCCATCACAGTCATGTGATCTCTTGCTTAATGGTCATATCATTTAGTGATGGAGTTGCTAGTCCCAACTATGGTCATTAAATGAGCATTGCCTGTAAGTTTAAATTAATAATATTAATTTTTTTTTACCTTTTGGGCAACAGGGAACTGTCTGCTCTGTATTTTGTACAGAAGTCCCAGTGAATTTTGAAAACTACTGTCATCCATATCTTTTTTTCTTTGAAATATGCCCATCTTTTTCATTTGCTCTTCATAGGACTTGTTTACTTTTTCCTTTCTGTGAAAGTTTATTTATTTCTTAAAATGCAGAGACCAGAACTAAAACAATATTTTAAATACATTCTGACTAATACAGAGCAGAGCAAAAAACAGGTACTTCTAATAAGCTTAAAACAATATTTCTTCTCTATTTTCTTCAGTTTGCAAATTGAGTAAAATAATAAACCCACACAGCATATCCTTCTCATGCTAGTTAAAAGTAATTTCAGACATATATTCATGTCTTGTCATGAATTATTCATATTTAGGTTTATAGTATTTACTTAACAATAATGATGAAATGGGAACTCAGAAGTACAGTATATGCACCCCAGGCTTCTGAGTTGTTCTTCCAACTGTGATATTCAATGATAAAATATTTTTCATATATAGAAAAAGTGATGCTCCTCAGATCATTGCATTGTTGCTTTGTTTGCTCTAGTTGTTTGTTTGCAGTTATACACAGTATCTGTTAGTCTCTTGGCAACCAATTCATTGAAAGTAATTCTCCCAAGCAAAATTCTCAGAATCTTCGTTAGCAGAATAGAAGTGAGATGAAAGGATAGAATTACAAGAATTTTAACAATGGAATTGTTTCTAGTTTAGAACCTATTTATCCCTGAATAATTAGGTTAGGGACTTTTTCCCCCAATCTCTAATCAATTTTTATGTGTTTTTTTCCATAAAGGAGGACCTTGCAGATGGTTTGTTATAAAACCCTTATAAGAATATGAGCCAAGCATTACAGTCACTCATTCTATTGTCCTCCAGTTAATTTCCAAATAATTAGTATGTAATTCAAAAGAATCTGATCAACTACAAATTCTATGAACCTTTCTAGAACAAAATTAATATATAAAATAACTTCTGTTCAGAAGGGAGATAGTATATTATACTTCTAGACATATGAACCAGAATTGAATTTTGGACATTCCCTCTTCAGCAGTTTATTTCAACCTGGTAATTTCCTCCTTATAAGGCATTTCAATAGATATGCAATAATATTTTGGTCAACTAGTTGTAATTTTAGATCTATAGAAATATATTTTACTTATTTATTTAATTATATTGATAATCAGGTGTGATGGCTCAGCAGTTAAAGACATTAAGCTTATCAGCTGGAAAGCTGACAGCTGGGGTTTGAGACCCCACAATGGGTTGAATTCTTGTTACTTGCCCTAGCAAGTAACCTAGCACAATGATGGCAAACCTATGGCACACGTGCCAGAGGCGGCACTCAGAGCCCTCTCTGTGGGCATGCGCGCCATTCCCTGGAGATGGAAACCATCCCTCTTCAACCAGCTGCCCACTAACTCACCGAGGTCCCATTTGGTTGGATGCATCCCAGCATGGCTGGTTTCCCTCCCCCATGTCCCATCCCTCCTGGCCTCGCATGCTCTCCTTTTCCCAGGCACGACCCACTGCATCGCCTCCTCAGCCATTGGCCAGCCTTCCAGCTCAGAGGTGGCTTCTCTGAACTGCTGGTAGTCAGCTGCAGAGCCCCAGAATGCGCCGGTTGAGGGGCCGGCAGGCTGTGGCTGCTGACGAACACTGTCAGACCCATGTGCTTGCTGGCCTCTGTGTTATGGTTCCGGCTAATGAAACACTTCAAAGAACTTCCAGGCATTGATTTTCCTAAAAGTCTTTATTTATGTTACAAAATATCGGCACAGGCATAACGGAGGTATGCCAAGATCTAAATTCTCTTCCCCTGAGCAATTAAATTATCAGCATGTTCCCTCCCTAAATTAGCAGTCATATATCATGTTATCCAATCAGTGTGAAGGTCAAAGGTTTCCTTCCTCTCTCTTTCCCGGGCTTTTCCCCCACCCTCTTCTGCTCTGCATTAACTCTAAAAATACCAGACAGTTCTGCATATTGTCAAAGCAAGAATATACAGTATTTGCAGCGTTGACACTCTGTGTCGGGGGCCGATGGTGTCAGGCAGCCACAATGACACCCCCGCCCTGCCTCACCTCACCCTGCAGGGCGAGCCTCCTGCCCTCCACCCCACCTGCCAGAGACCCCCCGAATCTCCCCCAACCCTGGTCGGCCCCCACAGGCATCCCTCCCCATAAGCAACATTGATGTGACCATGCCCACCTTGGCCACACCCACCCAGTCTGCTCTGACTACCACAGCCATGCCCACCCAATGGGCCACACTCACCTGACACGTGGCAATAAATAAGTGGGTTTTGGGTTGCAGTTTGGGCACTCAGTCTCTAAAAGGTTTGCCATCACTGACCTAGCAGTTCAAAAGCATGAAAATGTGAGTAGATAAATAGGTATCACTTCAGTGAGAAGGTAACAGCATTTCAAGTGCCTCAGTGTATAGTCATGCTGGCCACATGACCATGGAAATGTCTTCAGACAATGCTAGCTCCTAGAGTCTGATACAACTTTACCTTTATATTGATTATCATATTTTAATCTTCAGATTGCTCCAATCTTAACTAACTCTGGATGTAGAGGCAACAAGACAAGACAAACGATATAAAGAAAAATAAATCTTAAATTTAATTACCTCTATCAGGATGCCAAAAGCAATTAAGGGAGGAAGACATGTTTGGATAAATTAAACTTGATTGCAAAGTGTAGGCAAGATTGTGGCCCTCAATACTTTTAAATGAGAAGATCCATCCATCCATCAAATTTAGGTACCATCCATCTCACTCTTAGAGTGTCCTTAGCCATCACTGAGAAGGCTTGTGTCAAGCTCAAAGCACATGTATGATGTTGCCATCGTTATTGTTTCTCAGCTTGCCAACGCACTAGGGGGCAGGAGAGGGGAAAATAGAATACAGACTCCAGACAACAAGAAGTCAGCCCGTGTGAACCAAAGACATTTCAGCAGGTGTTTTCAAACACAGAGAGACACTTTCTTATAACAATATTTTGACATATGATTGGACCATGTTACTTGCACTAATAAGGGGAGGGAGAATTCTATACTTGAATGATAGTCGTTTGCTTTAAACTGTGCCAAAATGATGTACTCAATGAAGTTTTGCATTAAGAGATTGGATTTTTTGATGGTGTTTGCTTGGTTGGGTTCATCAGTCGGAACCTTGACAGCTTGTTTACTGGCTCACAGATCTTGTGACGAGAAGAGATTCTCAACAGGCACTTTTCTAGATATCCAGACCAAATGGGCAGATTCAATTCTGGTAAGGTGTTGCCTGATACACTCTAATGCTGCACCATTTTATAGATACTAAAATGGAATTCCATTGACAGTTGTGTGGTAGACACTCCAATTCCTTATTCCATTTCTTGTGAAGATCTAATTTAGTGTATTGAACATCTTAGTGTGTTCTAACATATGTTTATAAATTGTTATGATTAGCTAAAATTTAATTTTAGCTTTTCATTAAAAAAAAAGCTCTTCATCCCTTTCTGTATTTTTATGCCAAGCAGGAAGTTGTTATTGGAGATCTGAAGCCAGGGACTCTGCATACTGTCAGCATAGGAGCTTATGGTTGGGCAGGAAGAGGCAAAGCCAGCATGCCTAGAAATGTGACAACTCTATCACAAGGTAAATATTATTTGAATAGCTTTCTATTAAGTGTGCTGATTGACACAGAATTCACTGTAGACACTGTAAATGTATTTCAGAAAGATACATAGGACGTCAGGAAAGTTTCAGTACAGTGCAGAAACAGGAATGAGTGAGTTATGGCAATTTCAAAGGAGCCTCTGGTCGGGAGACAGGATGCAATTGTAATTGTGAAAAGAATGATGAGGATTATTAAGGTGTCAAATAAATTTAGTATGATATGACTTAGTATGCCATATGTGGTTCTTTTCAAAAGTCTACACAAAGGCATTTGGAAATTAGTTTATTTTAAATCATAGGGCTTCTTCTGGGCCATAATTATATTTATTTATTCAGAGCAACACTTTCATATGTTAAGTATTTCCCCCTATGAAGGGGAAAAAATGGTGGTATTTTCTATATTAAATAGCAGCAACTTTGCTGAAATTGAAGCAAGAATGGGAAGAAAGTCCAACATTACAGTTTCATGAAAGGTTTTGCTCCTATAAGTATTTCTGAGATTTCCAAAATGTCATAATGTATATAATTGCTTTTCTCCCTCTTAGATAAATGTATGCCTCCAGCTCCACCTAGTCAGCCTCAAGTCATTGTTGTTTCAGACTCAGAGGTTGCTTTATCATGGAAACCAGGGCCAAGTGAAGGAAGTTCTCCAATTGAGTACTACACTGTGGAATTTATCAGGTGATCTTGACTATGTATTAGCATGTAAGCACTTTTTCCATATATGTGGGTTTATGTGTGTTTCAGTCTGATGTCATTAATGTAAGTGAAACTGGTTCTTATTTATTTATTAGTTTAAATGGCTTTGTTTCAGCACGGCTTCAGAGTTCCTTTTGGGTTTTGGACCAAGCCAGTCTTGCTTTTTCTTTGTTGTTTATGATAGATGCATACTCTGGACCTCCACAGTAGCTCATGCAGAGGTCTCCAAAGCTCCACATCTTACAATACAATATGTAAAGGTGGGCTTCTATTTAATCCTAACTCATCTCTGAACTATCTCCTGGCTGTTACTATAGCATTTTTTTCTCTTTCATTTTATTTATTTATTTATTTATTTAAATTTGTTGTTATCCCAACTAGAAGACTCCATTTAAGGATGTATCAGTTAGGTATATAGAAAATTCCCATGTAAACTCATAACTGTATTTTATGTTTATATTGGCTTGCTCCACTGATGGAGTGTTCTCTGTAACAGTGGTGGATGAGATCTTTTGTCTTGAGCAAATTTCAATTTTCTGATCATGGTAGGAACTCCTGTTTTAATACCAGTGTCAGCCATTCAGTCCCATTCCTTTATTGGCAATTAAATTTTTAAAAGGTATAAAATGTAGGCAGATTTTTTTTAAAATTAAGAATGCCTGGTTTCATCCAATTTTTTTTATTAAATGTGTTTATTAGATTTATTAAACAAAAATGTTAGTGACTCATTCCTAGTCTAATTCAGAGGTTGTTTCATTTTGTTTGGTGGGGAAAGTTGGTGTAGTTATGTGGTCTTCTTCAGTTCTATGCTCTTCAGATGGCTATATATTGTGCAGGCGAATTTAGCTGAGTGGTTTTCAGTTTTTTGTTCGTGTAATCTATTCTGAAACTTGCCTTTTCCCATGACACAGAAGACAGTATGATTTGGAAGCCAAAAAGACTGATTTTAAAAATATATATTTATTTCACGCATGGTTCTGAGTCTTTGTTGGGCTGCAATCATTATCCATTGTAAATATTAAGCAAACCAGTGGTTCAACATGGGGATGGTTTTGCTGAAAACCTGAAGTGTCAGTTTTTAGCAAAACCATTGTAAAATATGGTCATGTGACCATGGGGTGTATCAAATGGACATAAATGTGGCTATGTTGTCAAGCACCAGAAGTTTGGTCATATGACTGCAGAAGTGAGCCAAACATTGGAACTTCGAATTCAGGTTGTAAGTGGCCCCAAGGTAGGTCCGTCATAATTTTAAACAGTCACTCAGTGACCAGTTATACCCCAAGGGATACCTGTATTGCTATCCTTGGCATATCACTCAAGGCCACGTGTGGCCCTTGGACTGGAGAAAGTTGCACAGTCCTGCCCAAGATCATACTGGAATTTCCAATATTTCCATGGAAGGTTTTCCATGTATCTCTGTAAGGATCAAGTATGAGGAGGGAAAATAAGAAGCCTATAAAGAATTCTTGCATATGTTATCCTTCTCTTTTTCATGTTTTGTTGTAGCAGAACAGTTCAAATGAATGGCAAAGTATTGTAACTGAGCAGTATTGTGCAATTGCCACTGTGAGTTACTCTTGCCAGTAGGGAATTTCTGTAGCTTGTTTGGTGTCTTGTCCAAACTGGAATCCTCTAGGATTGCTGGCTCCTTGGGAGTCAAGCAAGGATTTAGAATTGGACGTGTTTGCTTATTCTTTTCAAACTGGGCAGGATTCTTCATATGCTCAATGTCATTTTAAGAAGTAGAGGTTTTCAGCAGTGAGGGTAAATGAATCACAATTATTATAAAATGAAGAGAACTATTCAGAAAGTTTAAAGAAAGGGGAACAGACACTCTTAATTACAAGAAACAGAAGAGTCCCTTGGGGTTTGGATCCACATGAAAAACAGAGTAGTCAAATAATTAAATGGCCCTTAGTGGATCAAGGGAATTTGTTAGGAGAAATTTCTTTAAGAAAAAGAAGACAATATTTTACAGTTGAGTCACTTTTTCTTAGTCTGTTTTACAGAGAGTTAGGTTGTTGTTGTTTTTAAAACAAGCCTTTTTGTTGTCTCCTGTAGCTGGAAAAATTGGTTTCTCAAGTTCACAGAACTGGACAAAGCTGAAACAGTTCCAAATTGCTCTCTTTTTTATTTCAGAGTACGCCCTTCTTGCTCAATAGAAATGACCTTCAGATGATTAAATCATTTTTATATTGACTGATTAGAAAAAGCCAGATGAGTCTATTTTGACAGCATCTCTGGACTACAAATAAAGCAAACAAGAAAAAAAAGCCCACACAAAATATCTCTCTTGTGCTACAGTTTTTATTAGAATGCTTCCAAAATGTTTGCAGCTGGTTTCTTATGTAAACAATAGTACATTTAAAACTTGAAAAGTTATTTCCTGCAGTAAATATTTCAAGAATGCCATACTAAATGGGACAGCAATTTAGTCTTATGTATCAAAGTCTTTCAGTCTCTGTTATGTTCAGTCATTTCCGTAGGAACTTTAGCAAGTTCATGGGAGTAAAAATTGCAGTTTTGTCATTTATATTGAACACTGTAGGAATGATCCCATGGGAAAAGGGATAGCCTCTTCCTCCTATTTATCCCTGTAATGCTGAGTGCTCAGCACAGCTAGGATGTTCACATGTCAATAATTTTGTTTTTTTCTCTGCAAGCTTCCAGCAAGTTTGACTCTTATATCCTTTGGACCTGCTTTTGATTTAGCCTCCTTGCTGGACACCAACATTTTAAAATATAGGGTTGAGCAAGCCAAAGAAAACTGTAGCAGAACTTCTTATTGGAGTGAGAATATAGCCAGGGAATGAAAGATGCCTTGACATAAAAGTGACTGGAGAAGAGATGGCCGCTAATTCATCACTGGAGGACAAAAATGTTACACTAAAAAAAAAACTAATTAAAAAAATCCTCATATGAAAATAACCATGATAATGCAGTTTTAGGGTTTTTATTCTCTTCCATATTATTGTAATTATATTGTTGCCTGTATTGAAACAGAGCTATTTTAAAATGCTTTGATAAGTTTAAAAATAATAGCTATAATTTAAATAAACAAAATCTTCTCCTGAATGGCTATATAAACATGCTTAAGTTTCCTAACCAAATCTTATCAATCATCTAGTTTTGTGATTAGCTTTGTGGATCTCAAATTGTATTGACTTGCTTTGACCTCAAACATTCCAGGGAATATTAATATCAGTAAATCACTTTGTTGGCATGTACATGTCTATGATAGCTGTCATATTTGGTAGCTCATTGGACCTTTCTCTCATTAGCCAACAATCATTCTATTAGACTGCAGCAGCAGAAGTTGAACAGCAAGGCCATTCCATCAGCTTGGTGGAGAATGGCAGAGTCCTTTTCTTGATATGTTTCTGTTAAGTCCTTCGCGAAATGGCAATGACACGAGAAGCAGTTGTAGTTCTCAGGAACCTCTTTATTTCTGTTCAGCATACTGGTTACAAGACGCCGACAACGCCCAAATCTCCCTGCCCCTTTTATAGGCGATTCCCGGGCCAAACTGCAACATTTGGCGTGCCTGCACTTGCGCATGCGCGCGAGTGCTGGCGACAGCCAGTCTGGTCCCGAGCAGCTTGCACCTGCCTGGGACTGTTGCAATGCCCCGAGCCTGCTTTCACAGGCTCAGGACATAACACCCTTTCCCCCCCGGCTAAGACTATGATCATACAAATAATAATATACAACCCAATACGACTGTGGAACCCATACTAGCTTTGTACCAGTTATTCCTTTGCTTCTATTGTTCCCCAGTGTTCTATTTTCCTATGTGTACAGGAATACTCTCTGTTAACTCTGTTTTGCCAGTAGGGTTACAAAATCTTCTAAATACTTAGGAGATCTTTTAGCTCTCTGTGACCTCCTGACTTCTGGGTACCTTCCGAGTATCCCTTGACTGAGGGGTGATGTATGCCTGTCCCCCTTGCTAGGCCCTGGTGATCCCCAAGGACTGTGCTCCAATGCCTGGCCTGCTTGCTTGCCCACCGGGCTCGTCAGGCCAGGGCTTCTTTCTTTGTTTGATCTGGTTGTCCTGCCTGGCTGCAGGCTCTCTGGACCTCTTAAGTGACTGTCACTGTTGGGCAACTCTGTAGAACCTCCCAGGTCTGTCCTAGACCTGTCAAGAGGTTGTCTTTCCCCGTGTTCCCGTTCTGTTCCCGGGCTTGCTGGGGTTTCAGTACTGTCCCAAAACTCAGTTGTCCCCTGGGTGATGCCAGAGGTGATGTAGTTGGGATTCAGTTCCTCAACCACCTCCCTGTGTGCTTGCCCCCTTCTAGGGACAGGGGCAGTGTTGGGCCAACTAGACGGACTGTGTGCCAGCTCTCTTGCAGGGTGTGGGTTGTTTGGATGCTCCCGGGTATCCTCCCTGACTGGAGTACTGAGTGATTCGGGTGAGTAGTGATTATGTCCCTGGGGTGACTCCCTGGCTGGAGTAGGCACTGGTGCCTGAGTTCTAGTTGGGCTCCATGAATTCCTGTTTGGAGCACTTGCGGAATCTCGGAATGAGCTGTCTGTAGTTCCCTCGTTAATGATAGGCGGCAGCCTGCACTCTTCCCTTTGCCCAAAGGGGTCCCCCTCCCCCCCTGGAAAAGAACCAGGAGTCTCAGTGGGAAGGTCACGTCTAGTGCGGAGCTGGTCGATGTGTCATCACAGGACACGACCGTCATCCAGGGAAACCTCATAGGACAAAGGACCTGTGACCCTGGACACAGTGGCAGAGACCCATGAATGACCAGGCCCGTAGTTCTGAGTCCAAACCGGGGCACCCACAAGCAGTTGTCTAGGTGCCCTGGGGTGTGTGATTGTGGAAGGTAGTCTGTCCGGGTGCAACCGGTCAAGCTTGGTAGTCAGTTTGCGCCCCCAACGAAGTTCAGCTGGGCTCCTCCCAGTAGAAGTGGAAGGTGTAGTGCGATAAGAAAGGAGGAAGTCAGCCAACCTGTGATGCCAGTCTCCATAGGTAATTTTCTTCAAAGCGTCCTTGGTGATGCGAACCATGCGTTCAGCCATACCGTTGGTGGACGGGTGGAAAGGCACAGAGGTGGCATGACGAATCATGTTGGCCTGTAAGAAAGCTTGGAATTCGGAAGAAGTGAATTGAGGGCCATTGTCAGATACGAGGACATCAGGAAGCCCGTGTGCAGCAAAAATCCCCCTCAGTACTTGAATAGTCTTTGCAGTGGTGGTGGAAGAGACAGGTACAGCCTCAAGCCATTTTGAATGGCTGTCAACCAGGACCAAGAAGAATTGACCCTGAAAGGGTCCAGCGTAGTCAATGTGCACCCTAGACCATGGAGACTGTGTTTCCTCCCATCTATGTACAGGAGCTTGGGGCATTTCAGGCCGTGAGCGCTGACAAAGGTGGCATGCATGCACCTTAGCCTCATTGTCTCTGTCTAACCCAGGCCACCACAAATGGCTGCGCACAAGCGCTTTCATACGTACAATGCCAGGATGACCCTCGTGGAGGGAACCTAAGACCCTAGTCCTCATTGAGGCAGGGATGACAACTCTGCTCCCCCAAAGCAGACAACCCTGGAAAGTGAATAACTCATTCCTTTTGGACCAGAAACTCTGAAACTCAGTGCCTGGACAGCTCTCTGGCCATCCAGATAAAACCCCAGATAGGACACGAGAAAGTGTGAGATCTGTGGCTGATTCAGCAGCCACATCCCTGGCATCTAAAGGGGACTCAGGCAAGGCCTGAATGGAGAGGATATTGATTGTTGGTGCAGGGTCAGCCTCTATTACTGGCAGGGGTAATCTACTGAGGCCGTCAGCGTGGCCCATTTCTTTCCCAGGTTTGTGAAATAAGGAAAAATCATAGGCAGACAGAAAGATAGACCATCTCAGCATTCTGGGGGAGATGATTTGGGGAGTTTGTTTATGTATGGTAAACAGCCCCAACAAAGGCTTATGGTCAGTGAAGACCGTGAAATGCCTGCCATATAGGAAATCATGGAACTTTTTGATTCCAGCAACAACAGCTAAAGCTTCCCTGTCAATTTGAGCATAATTTCGCTCTGCAGAAGACAAGGTTCTGGAGTAATATGCAACAGGAACCTGAGTTCCATCTGGTCTGAGGTGGCTTAGTACGGCTCCCACCCCATAAGGAGAAGCATCACAAGTGATGCACACAGGAAGGGATTCATTGAAATGTGCAAGCACACTGTTAGAAGTGAGTAAGGCCTTAACCTCATTGAAACTTGCTTCGTGTTTTTGTGACCACTGCCACACTGCCTGTTTGTCCAGGAGCCTATGAAGAGGCTCGGCTACACTAGCCTTGCTTGGAAGGAAGAAGTTGTAAAAGTTCAGAAGGCCCAGAAAGGCCTGTGGTTCGGCCTTGGACTTTGGCCTAGGAGCATGCATAATAGCTTTCAATTTGGATTCAGCAGGGTTAATCCCGGCAGCATCAATTTTGAATCCTAGAAAATCTGTAGAAGGCACCCCAATTTTACATTTGTCCTTCTTAAGTTTGAGGCCCGTTTTCCTGAACCTCAGCAGGACAGCCCTTAATCTCTCAGCTAAGTTGTGTGTAGAGTCTCCAGCAATTAAGACATCATCAAAATAGGGGCAAACCCCTGGTATACCCCGTAGTGTGTTTTCCATTATGCTTTGGAAAATTCCAGGAGCAACATTTACTCCAAATTGTAACCTCTTTACCTTGAATGCCCCCCTGTGGGTCACAATGGTTTGAGCTACAGCAGCAGCAGCATCAACAGGTAACTGTTGATACGCCTGAGCTAGGTCAAGCTTTGCAAAAACACGCCCCCCCTTGAGGGAGGCCAGAATATGACTGACCACGGGAACAGGATAGGCATGTTGCTGCAATGCCTTATTCAGAGTGCATTTGTAATCTGCACATATGCGAATGTCCCCATTTGCCTTAAGAGGCGTGACAATGGGGGTCTCCCAAGGACTGGAGTCGACAGGTTCTAAAACTCCTTGCTGAATCAATTTGTCTAATTCGGTGTCAATTTTACCTTTCAAGGCAAAAGGAACCCTTCTTGCTTTAATTCTAATAGGGTTGACAGTGGGGTCTAATTTCAGTGACACAGGGGGTCCTTTGTACGTGCCCAGCTGTGGGCTGAAAACATCTGCAAATTCTTTGCAGACTTCTTGTAGGTCTACTGTTTGCAAGCTATTGAGCCCTGTGACGTGTATTCCCAAGGCCTCAAACCAATCGAGTCCTATGAGACTCGTTCGCTCACCCCCTACTACTATTACATCTAGTGGACCTTCAAAATCCTTATACTGTACGTTAAGGGTGGCCTCCCCCTTAACACACACTCTGGAGTTTTGAAAGTCTGTTAACACAATGTCGGAAGGCCTCAGCTTGGCCTGAAATCCGCTGCCAGAACAAATCTTCCTAAACGTGTGCATGGAAATGATTGAAAGTGCAGACCCCGTATCCAGTTCCATAGCCAATGGAACCCCTTGTAGCTTCACTTTAAGTGACAGCTTTTTCTTAATGGGCTTGTGTGTGCCTGTCCTATAAATGCTTCTTCGCGAAGCACAGAAACCCATCCTGTTTTGGCTGGGGACCCTGGTACCTTTCAGGCGCAATTCTTCCCGTGGTTGTACCTTCTGATGGCCCAGACACACAGCTGCAATGTGTCCCTGTTTTCCGCATGCCCTACAGATAGCGGAGCGGAATCTACAGTCAGTCCTCTTGTGGCGACCTCCACACCCGAGGCACTTGGGGAGAGCTGAAGAGCTTTCCTTCTGTTTCCCTTCTTTCGTGGGGTAGAGACGGTCTACTTCATCATCAGGATCCTCCTCTGGGTTCCTTTGGACTCCTTCCTGGTGCACAGACACAGCTTCTGGAGTGCTTCTGATCGACCTCATGTTCTTGATGGTGCCGCCCGCTGCCTCTTCTGCAGTAACCTCTCTCAAGGCATCTTGGAATGATAAGTCTTCTTTAGCGAAAAGTCTCTGCTGCAATTCTCTATGCCTCAGTCCGCATACAAATCTGTCTCTCAGCCGTTCTTCTAGATCCTTGAACTCGCAGTGTTTAGCGGCTTTTCTCAGCGCAGCAATATATTCTTTGGCTGATTCTCCGGGTCGCTGATCCCTCTGTTCGAAGGTGTGGCGCCAAGCAATGACGGACAACTTGGGCTGGATGTGTTCCTTTAGTAGTTTTTTGAGATCTGTGTAGTTAACAGATTCTAGAGGTACAGGTGCTGCTATGTTTTCAGCGATTTCGAATGCGTCTTGACCGCAAACGCACAGCAGGGTGGCGGCTTTTAAACTATCTTCTCTTACTTGATTGACTTTAAGATAGTTTTCACCCTGGCTACGTAGGACTCCCATCTTTATGGATGCGAGACATCGAATTCTGAAAGTCTTCCAACTTTTGCCATTTTTGTAGAAAAGGAAGGGTCTATCAGCCAGCTTACCCCCGATGTTCGCTGGATTGGCGGGCAGCCGCTGAGTTAACGCCGTTCCTACTGCTCAGGACTCTAGGGTAAGCTTACACCTGTCTTCAGTCGATGTAAGGCAATCCCACCCTCGTCGCCAGTGTTAAGTCCTTCGCGAAATGGCAATGACACGAGAAGCAGTTGTAGTTCTCAGGAACCTCTTTATTTCTGTTCAGCATACTGGTTACAAGACGCCGACAACGCCCAAATCTCCCTGCCCCTTTTATAGGCGATTCCCGGGCCAAACTGCAACATTTGGCGCACCAGTCTGGTCCCGGGCAGCTTGCACCTGCCCGGGACCATTGCAATGCCCCAAGCCTGCTTTCACAGGCTCAGGACATAACAGTTTTCATTCCAGCTAACTAACCTTGACTTGGCCTCTGAGTGGTACTTTGCTCCCAACAGTAGGTGGGACCAGCAAAAAGAGATTAATGGCTGAGGACATTAAAAATATTTAATTTAATTAACTTTCAAATGTAATTTAATTCAAATTAATTCAATAGAGTTAAAAGTGATTTTGCCGCATACATCTATTTTTTTTTCTTCTGTTACATAAAAATGTGATGATTTATTTAAGGGTTTTTAGAAATGTATTAAAAATCCCTTGGGACTGGTATCTGTGTTATGATATCTATTGTAAGCACTGATGCCCAGGGTCCGTCTCTTTTCTTCTTCCTGTTCCTTTTTCTTTTTCTATTGGCCCATTTAAGTTTTAAGTCTGTGGGGAGGAACCACCTTATTGTACTGATTGCATGCAAATTGCTTTTCAGATGGTGAATGGGTTATCAATGTTTTAAATAAATAATTCTTCTGTGGTTGTTGTTGTTGTTTTGCATGAGAATTGGATCTGAGGTTTATGCATACCAAAATCAAAACAATCAGGAGACACCAACCAGCGTAAAACCCTCAAATCACGTAATTAAATTTCACATTCACTATTCCTATTAGAACAGCAAATTTAGCCAATGTTCAATATTGGCAAATGTTTAGCTCTTGCTAATTGACTAAGCTCACTTTAATTACATTTTGGACTCTTTGTTCATCCCAATCAGACCCGATTTTGATACCAAATGGACAGCAATTAGAGAGCAGATCCAGATGGACTCTATGATCCTGAAGGGGCTAACTCCAAACGACAAGTATCGGTTTGCTATCCGAGCTACAAATTCATATGGGTCCAGCCTGCCAAGCATTGCCAGTGATATAATCAGAATGTTCCGTGAGTAGACAACCTTATATTGCTGAGCATTGAAAATGTTGTGGCTGGTAACTTTCCCTGGCTACTGACTATTTAAAAAATAGTCAACTTTCCCTGCTGCCTTCATTTCCTCAACATATGACTTATGAAAATGCCAAACATAGATATATTTCAAGAAAACCAACCCCTCTTCTTCTTTCGTAACTATAGTTCATAGTTAAACATGGCACATGTGTGGAACAATAACAGTTTGCGGGGCAGATTAAATGCTGCAGAGCATTCATCAGAATAATTATTCTTTAGAAATAAAAGATAAAATAAAAGTAAGATCCCAAATGTTTAGAACTGTAATATTAAGAATCTGTTATTTTTTGTATGTTATCACCTATACTATTTTTAACCCAAACCTTCTTTTCATTAGATTCTTTATCTTTTCCTTTTTTTATTTTCATAGCTCTTTATTCTGGTAGCATTAGACTAGGTTTCATATGAATTGTCCTGATTATTTTGATTTCTTGTGTTTAAAATTTAACTTCCAAAGCGAATGTTTATGAAAACCTCCTGAAGATATAATCATCATTTATATCTTTGCCCAGAAGGTCATAAACCTTGTTACTGGGTGCACATTTTTTCTGACATCCTGTTTATCTGTACATGAAAATATTTTCAGAACTTTCACAACCAAGGGTGAGAAATTTGATGTAGGCTATTTTCTAAAGCAAGGAAATAATGGTTGATGATTCCCACAATATTAATGTGTTACTGAGAAATCCAGTGTAACCTTCATCACTCTTTCCTTGAACCAATCCACTTGAGGGATAAGAGAAGCAGATTTGATTCACAGTGACTGGTATTATGCAAAACACTGGGCAACTAACAAGTTTAACCTGCGCTAGTGACATCTCTAGTCCAATCCTTCTTAAAGAGATTATTAATTCCCATTTATGCGTAGGAAGAATAGTAACAATCGCCTTTGGAAACATGGCTAACAAAGAAGGAAAAAAACTGCCATTCACCAGTTCTGTTTCATTCAATCTTTAGCATAAGGAGAACTTGAGTGCATAAAGATATTTATATTCAATAAAAATGTCCTTAATATTTACAATGTGAGCATTTCAGTCTCTCTGTATCATTCCATCATAATGGCATTTTGCAAATAATAATACCAATGAAAGTAAAATACTTTGGTGAGCACACTTTGAGATTCTAGTATATGAGATAATCTTTATTTGGTGACAGATTACTACAGTACATGAGCATAGCAGGGCTGCTACACATATCCAGTGGATTAGTAAAATTAATTAGTAACACTAATGTTTCCACTCCCAAGGCCAAGAAGTTAGTCACTGGACACTGAGACATTTTTTTTTTTCATTTAGTTATAGCCATTAGACAGAATCCCATTCTGTAGACTAAGACTTCAACTATTTTCCAAATATAACTAACTTCTGAAATTAACTCTTTAATAGCAATAGCACTTAGACTTATATATTGCTTCACAGTGCTTTACAGCCTTCTCTAAGTGGTTTACAGAGTCAGCATATTGCCCCCAACAATCTGGGTCCTTAATAAGATGGCTTCAGAACTTTTTGAAGTTCTTGAACTGAATTGCCACCTAAGTTAGCAATAGGAAAAAGACTTAACCAGGTTCTTACTTGTTAGGATTGAATTGATTAACATAACCCTTATTAGTTGTTAGAATGGATGTTTTTTTTTTTAAATTATGGCTACACAAATGGGAGTGTGCCTTAAGAGTGCTAATGTTCATTGCACACTAAGGATCTGTACAAAAATAAGTTCCAATAGGCTATAGGATGTCCTTCATGGCACTTTTAAAACATTGGATAATTCAAGAATGAAATATATTTCCCTAGCACTGCTCTGTTAAGCTCATAAAGTATTTCTAATATTGGGAATGCAATATCTATATCTATTTTAAATAATCAGCTTTAAAGAAAACCATAAAAGAACACAACTAAAATAGGAGAGGAAAATGCAAAAAAGCCATTTTAAAAGTAATAATAACGCAAAGGAGGCAAACCAAGTAAAAACTTGCATTATATATATATTACTTGCACAAAATTAATACAATCTTTGCCTTTATCCATCATCTGGATAAGGGCAAAGGCCAAATCTTTACAAATAATCAGAACGTAAACCCGAAGCCAGTGGCTCTGAACTTTTTTGACACCAGGGACTGGTTTCTTGGAAGACAATTTTTCCATGAATGGGGGTGGGTGTGGGGAATGGTTTTGGTTGCACTTGCTTACCCACTGCTCACCTCCAGCTGTGCAGCTCGGTTCCTAACAGGGGCCTCCAGAGGTTAGAAACCCCTGCCCTAAACTATTGCAAAATGAAGTGATTTATGAAATGATTTTCATGATTTATAAATTGTGTTCATATTAAGCAAAAAAATCAGAATTTTAATGTACAACTGTTTCATCAATGCCCCCAAAGATATGTTGAACTGACTTTCATTTACACTGTGTAAATCTCTTATTTGTTACAGACTAGAATAATTATTGTTTTCTGGAATCATATCTGGAACTTCTTCTTTGTTTGCACAAGTAAATTAAGGTTAATCTTGCCAATGTTTGGTATTATAAAGGGAGAATTATGCATTATTTCCCAAAGAAATTCCCCCCCCCAAAGCCAGTTTTAGTGCATTTACCTTATATGAAAGTGACACTATGTCAAAAACATACATTTGTGACTATGCCAGTTTTATCTTCTCAGACCCGGAAGAGTTAGGGAGTGGAAGCTACGGACATCCATACATGACTGAGTCTGGAAATGGTGATGATGATGATGGAATTGACATTGATGATTCAGACTCTGACATTTATATCGATGAGGTACATACGTCTCACTCTGGCATTTTGGTTGCTTAACATTTTTAGTGCAATATTTAAACAAGAACACCTAAATAGAGATCAAATACAAGTCTATCAACAAATATACACTCTGATGCTATATTAACTATTCGTTTGCATTTGACTCAGTCTGAACATTTTCTTCCTTTCCTGATCCTCTGAAGCCTTTGATTTTTTTTCCAGACTTATTTGTTTTTACTGAAACAAACTGAATGAGGGGGAAGAGAGTAATTGCTTCAAAGGGAAGCTGAGCAGAGTTTTCCTTTACGCCACTGAAGTCTGCCTTTTGCATAACTTCTGTTTCATTTATACTGTACTAACTTTATTTCAATCAAAAGTACTTCAAAATTCTCCTCCCCCTTCTACTAGCTGAAGAAGCTCACCATTAGTAGAGGAAGAAATACATTATTCTTTTTTTCATATTTTTTAAATTGCAGTAGTGCAGTATGTAGCAGCTACCCAGGCCACCTTTGTCATTAGACAGAATGAGGTGGTAGATTCAGGTGATGGATGCTATGGGGCAGGAGCAATAGCAAAGCTCTGGAAGCAAGAACAGTCTGATGTGTGATACCTTAAGCTAGTGTGTTATCTTCAAGTGTAGTAGAGGATACTTTTCTATTGGCACTGTTGAATAGTCAGCTCAATTGTTAACCTACTTGGGCTCTAGAGGCAGAAAACTTTGGATTTAATCCTTTGCATCAAAGTCTTTTGTTATTTGCATCAAAGACCATCTTTCTGGGAAATTAGATAGTGGCCATCATTTAAATACAGGTAGTCCTTGATATATAACACTTCATTTAATGAGCGTTCAAAGTTACAACACCACTGAAAAAAGTGGCTTATGACCGGTTTTCACACTTTCACACTGTTGTAGCATCCCCAGGATCAGGTGATCAAAATTCATATTCACTGGGAAAGTGGCTCATATTTATGACTGTTGCAGTGTCCCAGAATCATGTGATCATCTTTGGTGACCTTCTGACAAGCAAAGTCAATGGAGAAGATTCACTTAACAACTGTGTGACTAACTTAACAAATGAAGGGATTCATTTAACAACCGTGGCAAGAAAAGTCATAAAATGGGACAAAATTCATTTAACCAATGCCTTACTTAGCAACAGAAAATTTGGGCTCAATTGTAGTTGTATGTTGAGGGCTATCTATATAAAGGAAAGTATGTAAAGAAAAGTGTACCAAGTGCCTTTCTTTTGTGGGGATAGGGTTTGTAAGAAAAAGAAGACTATCAGAAAAACCGTCTTTTGAAACAATTCAGGTTAGCTTTGCATTCCAAAACATTTGCACTCCAAAGTTAGAGACTGCAGACAGCATCCTGATTTCTGCTCTCCCTATTCATTCAGAGAAAATACGAATAGACTGTTATCTTATCTTAATAATCCTGAAGGACAGGCCAAACCTCACAGCCATGGGAGGTGATTCATGATAGGATAAAAGAGATGCGAGACACTGCTTTACATTGAGTGAAAAAGAAATGTTCTGTTGGCACTGTCATTTCACAATCTTGGACAAAAATAATTCCTATGCTGCTTGCTATTTGAGATGCTTTGAATAGAGCTATTATGGCTGAAGATACAGTTTTTTACAGGCATGTGTTTTCCTGAGCTATATTTCTTCAGTCAGATCAATAGATGATTCAAAGTTACTGTGCTTTATAAGAAAAGATATTCCTTTCCTTACTGCTATTCCTTATGTTCCATGGGAATAAAAACTGCAATAACTAGCCTTTTAAGTCATAGTCAGTAGACCACATTGAAGTGCTATCCATCAGTTCTTTAACTGACAGAAATATGTAGCCCAAGTTGCTGAATCGTATTCTGTCACAATAATTAGACTGGTAAGTGATACTGTTCTTAAATTTTAATGCAGAAAAAGTCAGGAAAGCAGGTGCAGATCTCACAGTTGAATTTTCCTACCCAAGGAACATGTCTAGCTAGTGAGATTAAAAAACCCACCAGTGACCCTTCCTAATGGAAGACAAATGTGGATATATGTCAGGAATGTAATATTTATATATCTGTCAAGTTATCTGATCCAATCTATTTAGATTATTCTGAAAATGGGTTTAATGCTCTTCTATGGGTTTAATGCCTCCAAAATAGCCAACTGATAGGCATAAAAAATAAAGTGGCAAAGGATGGACAACAGATGAGAACGGTCATGCTGGTAATGAATTTGGTTCTCTTCTTGCAACACCTACTCAAAATAATAAAAAGGAGAAAAAGTAAAAGTAAAAACCACAACCACATGAAACCATGTGAAATAATGGAAAACATACTCATTGGGGGCAAAACCAGCAATGCATACTTGGTAGAACCCTGATCTCTTTACCAGGTTCAACACAGACCTAATGCTCTCTCAAAAGCCCTGTATTTTTTAAAAAATATTATTTCAAAAGAATGCTAAACTGGTGTATATGAAGTGTATCTTCATAAGCTTTTGAGAAAACACTGATCAGGCAGATATGTCTATGAAAACCAAGTGTTTTCTCTCTTCTGCTGTCCCAGCTAAGAAAGCTATGAAAGCCAGTGTCCCAGTGATTGGAGGAGAGGCAGTTTAAACTGTGCAGTAAAGATGAGATAAAAGCAATGTCATGAGCCATGTCATATAAAAATAATTACCAGGACATATTTCAGTTATGGTTAGGAGGATGTGAAGATGAACACTTAATCAGTATTCTAGCTCAGATTAAGTAAAGCTTTCTTCTCCTTAAGATATGGCACAGTAGGACACTCCTATCCTAGATGTTTGCCAGCAAATCATTCTACTGCTATCGTATCAGATTGAGTAATTATTGAATATCATTATCCTACCCGTGATTAACATTTAGCTCTAAGAACTGTAGTATTAAGCTTTGGCCTTACTAAACACATTTCTTAAATAAATTTTTCATTAGCTCAAACCACTTCCTGCTATCAAAGGAGGCAATACAAATTTTTTGGTTGAAACCAACATAATACAAGGATCTAATGCAGAACTCCTTTCTGGGCTGCTTTCACCTACTACATATCCTGTCAGTTCTATGGCAACAACTACATTCCTACCACGTGCTACTATCCCTTCCAGCATTACTGCTAAGGCCATCAGGAGGAACAGCGGGACTTCAGTTGTACGACAATCTGATCAGTCCTGTGATGAAACCATCTGCTCTACCAACAGCTTTTGCATCAATGATTATGAGCGGAGTGGCTCTCGTTGCCATTGCAACCTTGGCAAAGGAGGGGAGAGTTGTTCAGAAGGTTGGTTTACTTGGAAAGCTTTGGTAACTCTCTGTACATTCTGAAGATTTCTTAGTTTAGGACAGATTTGTAGAGCAGCATTTTCATATATTTGATTTGACACTTTAGTGCATTTACAAGCATAGAAGAACCATAACTGGAAAAACACAGCTGGCTTTTGGGCAGATGGTGAGTTTCACAAAAATCTAGAGGGAACTTAATTCATATCTACTATCTAGGTTGAGTAAACAGCATACCTTTTGAGAAGCAATATAACTTTAATGACCAGCTGCTTAGGTCAAATAACAAGAATTGGCTTATTTTAATTCTACTTTGATTGTGAGTTTCCTAAGGGCATCTATTTTAAGAAAGTTCAAAGTCAGCATTACAGTTTTGGGGTGTCCCAGACTTGGCTTTGTTTCTGAATTCCCGTAACTTTTCCATATATTATAATTTGGCCATGCACTTTTTTCCTTAAAGCAAAGCATTGCACTGAAGCTTTGACATTAGAATGAGGAACATACTGAAGCTGTTGTTATTAAGACCACACTTAGAACAGAAAGATAGGGAAAAGATGTGATTCTTCAAACTTTTGGAATGAAGGGACCAGTTAGGAAAATTTAAGAAGTTGGCAGTGACTGTTAAAATGTAATGCTAAAAATACCAAGATTATATTGATTTAATTTTTAAAAATGATTGCTATTGGATGTTTAACTGCTAAGCAATATTTTTGTTATTGATTTTCAGATATTAATATTCAGTATCCTCAATTTTTTGGATATTCCTATATCTCCTTTGAGCCTCTTAAGAATTCCTATCAGACATTCCAGATTACTGTTGAATTTATGGTAAGTGAATGCAGTCTTGAACTTAAAAAGCTTTTGCAAAACCTATGCAATATTTGAACTAACAGCTAAATGAGTCAAAGAAAATCTGTTAATACATTTATACCAAAAGTAAATGTCAGCATCTTGCAGAATACCTCTGTGCCATTCTGTATGAGAGCAACTTAAAATAATGATATACAGAATGTGCCAAAGTTTTAGCAGAATCAACAAAATCTAGCTAAATCAGAGCATGATTATTACAGAGAAATTATGCAACACAAAAATAGACAGAATCTGGTTCTGAAAAGCTCATTTGAGTTCTCTATTTGGTACTATATATCACTGTCCCTTTAACACTGGAATAGAAATTGGTAAAAAAAACCCATTAAATATAATAAAAAAATCAAGATAGCAATCAAGATGATATGATTGAAGTTTCATCGGTTTTTGTGTCACACATTAAAAATGGTTAGAGCTTCAACTATATCATGTGCCCTTCTTTTTTTGTCGTGTTCTATGAACACCCCTGGCCAAAGTATTCACAAAATCCCATACAATTTTTTTCCAAGCAAATGAATTATGCTAGTATGGATCTATATGGAAGAAAATTCCGTTCATTTCATCCTGTAAATATGTTAATTTGGTGGCATTTGCTAGACCTGGCTGAAATTGCTGTTAAAAATCATTGATCTTTTCCATGCTCCCTAGTGACTAACCATGTTGATTGGAGATGTTGGAAATGACAGATTAGACATCTTCCCATAATGATATGGGAACTTAATATATTACAAAGGAATATAGCAACCCTATTCATAGATTATGTACTTTTGGGGGAGTGTAGAGACAGATGCACTATAGAAAATAGAATATTTGATTTAATATGTAGAAATCTAGGGTTTAGATTTTTTTTAGAGACTACTGTTTTGTGACTTGTGCTTAGTTGCAAATGCAAAATGATATAACCTCATATTCTGTTTGTTTCACAATGAACGGAAGCAAAATGTATACAATAGATAAGACAACTATTTAGGTTTTGATTTTAATTGGGAATGACAAATATGTAGGTTATGGAGTTTTTTTTAATTAGAGAAAGATTGGACATGAAACTTGAGATAAATCAATCAATCATAGGTATCAGAAATGTCCATGTAGTGAAAGGTACTACAGTATAATGTTCTTCATTAGAAGACAATTTGGTGTAGTAGTTAAGGCATTAGGCTAGAAACCTGGAGCCCGTGAGTTCTAGTCCCACTTCAGGCACAAAGCCAGATGGGTGATTTTGGGCCTCTCTTTCTCTCAGCCCTAGGAAGAAGGCAATGGAAAATTACCTTCAATAATCTTGCCAAGAAAACTGCAGTGACTAGTTCAGGCAGGCATACAGAGACACAAGTTCTTCCTATCCCGTGCAACTACTTTTGTAAAGAGTAGCAAATAGTAAAGTAGAGGTAAAGCTTCACTTAGAACAGTATCAAATGAAGACCATGCAAGTAGTCCTTATTTAGTGACCACAATTGGGACCAGCAACTTGGTCATTAAATAAAGTAGTTCCTAAGTGAAACTGTGACTGCGCTTACTCTGATTCTCTCTAAGTCAGTGTTTCTCAACCTTGACATTTTTAAGGCATGTGGATTTCAACTCCCAGAATTCCACAGCCAGCAATGCTGGCTGTGGAATTCTAGGAGTTGAAGTCCACATGCCTTAAAATTGTCAAGGTTGAGAAACACTGCTCTAAGTCATAGGAAGTAGGCAATGGCAGAGACTAATCCAGGAGTCAAAAACTGACTCAAAAATATACACACATAAACTGCCACCTTTGATCCTGGTGTATTTATGGCAATCAAGACTGACAGCCCAGTCTATGAGTTTGTCTGGTTCTCTTTTAAAAATAATCTATACTGGTGATCATCACTTCTTCTGATAACAGTTAATTCCATGTTTTGTGCAGGAACTTCTACTTCAATTCTTTTTATGGTTTTAAAACACTACATTTAATTTGAGTCCATGACCGTAAGTTCTAAATGATGAAAGTAGAGGAACATTTCTTTGTCTGCATTTTTCACATGATGCATAACTTTAGTCATGTTATTTTATTTGTTCAGAACTAAAGACTCCCACTCCATGATACAATCCCTTTAAAAGACAACTGTCCCCTTTTTCATATGCTTTTTTCTATACGTTTTCTAGCTTTACAATATACAATGGTACCTTGGTACTCATTGTTAGTTGGTTCTGGGAGGCATGATGAGTACCAAAGATGCCAAACACCAAACAAATTTTCTCCTTCAGGAATAATGTATTAGTCACAAGGCAACCAACATCAACAAGTTCTAGCTTGCACATTGAATATCAAACAAATGATGAGTATCGAGACAAAAGGTTTACGTCAAAATGTGTTGAGTATCAAATTTGACGAGTTTCAAAACAGTCCAGTACCAAGGATAATGACTTTTAGATTTTCCTTGCTTTTGCATTCCTAGGCAGTAGCAGAGGATGGTTTGCTTCTGTATTGTGGAGAGAATGAGCATGGTCGTGGTGATTTCATGTCACTGGCAATCATCAGGCAAAGCGTTCAGTTCAGGTAAACAATAAACAAAAATAGCTATAGGATCTCTTTATCCTTTCCACCTTGTTCACTTAAAAATAAGTGGTGATAAGCATATGATTATAATAATGTGCTCTGTCAAAGTCGGGATCAGGAGACCATAACTTCTTCTTCTACCTTGTCAACCAACTCATTGACAGCTTCTTTTCATATATAAAGTACTGGAATTATTATTATTATAGTGTTAGTTCTTATCAGGGAGTTGGGAGTATTCCCTTGCTGCATTGTGCCATTAGCAAGGCAGACTCTGTGAATCTTCAAATCATTTCAGGAAGTTGATAGTTTCTTATTTATATGATTGACATTTTCTTTTTTTTTATGTCTACAATTAGAGGATTCAAAATCCCTGAAGTCCTTTTGTCAAAGAATTAAGAAAGACCTTTCCTTTTGCCCACAGTAATATATATATATATGGGCAGATTAAAACAAGGATTGCTAAAACATTTTTTAAAATGTCAGATTCTGTAGCAGTGCTAAGGCTTTGAAAATATGAAATTTTTAATACTTAAGAGCAAGACTAGTTAATATTTTGTTAATATAGTACAGGGTTAAAAATTAAAAATGCCAAGGATTTTCAGAATTTTTGTGTGAGTTTTCAGTGTAAGGTCATGAAATCTCAAAATTTGGCAATCTTTTTTTCTCTTTAAGTATATGGTAGGTTTGGTGTGGTAAATACTGTGTTTCTGATTTCTTTAAATTATTATATTTAAAGATTTTCTGTTTAGTAGAAAAATATTAATACATGTCAAATGACTATGCAATCTTTGATAACAGAGAAAGTCATTGTGAAAGTCTGTAAAAAAATTCCCTGAAATTTAGGTTCCCAGGTATCCAGGCTTGATTATCTCACATTATCCTATATTGGTTTCAGGTTCAACTGTGGAACTGGAATTGCAACAATAACAAGCAAGGACAAAATTAAACTGGGCAGTTGGCACAGTGTGACTGTATTTAGAGATAGAATAGATGGATGGCTTAGTTTGGATAACAGTCCACAAGTTCCTGGTAAATCTCAGGTGAGTTACTAATGATAAAAGGCAACAATATAGTTTGTTCTGAAGTAAAAAAAAAAACAGAATTCTCAAAATCAGGGGTTGTGAACCACTGGACATTTTACACATTTCCTTAACTTCAATTTGGAGATGCTTTAATCATTCTTTAAGGACATATCTCCATGTTACAGCCTTTCTCTCCTTGGCTAATATTGACTTTTTTGGATGTTGTGTAAAAATAGTATTTTCCATCTTCTCTAACCCTAACTTTACTTATTCTTGCTCTCTTACCTCCATTACAATACATGTCCAGCAATCTCTGTATTTCCTTTAATTCTTGATCTGAAAACTTAATTGGGATCATCCAAAACAAAAAAATATTTTTTGGTAAAACTTTTATTTTTATTGCTGCAATTCTTCCGAACCATCATAATTTTACTTTTCCATATTTATCCATTTTATCTTTTATATCTTTCTTTAACTTCTCATAATTTATTTTCTTTAATTCTTGAATATTTTTGGGGATGTCAGTACCTAAATATTTGATACTATCTACTATTTTTAATTTATATTTTTCTTTCAATACATCCATTTCTTCTTTACTGTGGTTATATAACATCATTTCTGATCTTTCCCAGTTTATTTTCAATCCACTATATTTCCCAAATCTATTCATCTTCGGCACCAATATCCTTTAAAATTTTTATAATATTCTGCGCCTACTCCATCTAACCCTGGTGCTTTACTATTTTCAATTTATTAATAACTTCCAAGTATCTCCTCCTCTTCTATTTGTGATTCCATTATTTCTTTATCATATTCTCGAATTTTACTGTTTAAATTCTTTTCTATATATGCCTGACTTTCATTCACATTTATTTCCTTTCCCTTATATAACTTTTCAAAAAATTTCTGAAATATCAAACAATTTTTCTCTCATCATGTTATATATTTCTCCCTTTTAATCTATTTCTATTAATAAATTTTCTTAAATCTGTATTATTATACTTTATTTCTGCTTTTGATGGATTAGATTTATCAATTCCTGTGTATCCATAACCATATTATAATCACCTGCCATTATCATATAACTTTTTTATTTCTTCTGTTTCTTTATATGCCCTATTATAAAACTCTCTTTGATTTGTACTAGGTGCATACAAATTTGCTAAAGTGACCTCTTGTCCATAAATCAAGCCTTGAATTATAAAAAATCTTCCCATATCATCTTTTTATGTCTTTTATCTTAAATTCACATCTTTTAGCTACCATGATTGCTACCCCACTTGCTTTTGATGTACCAAATGCCTTTTCTTATATGTCAGCCAATATAACCTAAGTTCATTCACCCCTTCTATCTTTTGATGTGTTTCTTGTAAAAATACAATATCTATTTTGTCTTTGTTAATTGATTTTTTAGTTCTTGTTTGTTTATATTTTTCCCCCAAGCCATATATATTCCATATAGCTACCTTCAACGATTTCCCCATCTATTCCTTATATTACATATTCCCTTTGGTCTCCATATGTGTTCTAACATAAATCTTACAAAACTAAAACTACAAAGTAAGCATATTGTCCCAAAACTTAAATAACCTCTTACCCATCCATATACATATATATTGTCCCCCTTCTCTTCTTCAGGAGATCTTCCTCCTCTCTACCACTTCAGGCCTCTGGGGGGGGGGGGAGAGGAGCTATCCCTACATGGACTTTGGTCACCCACTCCACCTCCCTTGACCATCTTTACCCTTAATTTCTACACCCAAACATATATTGTAAAATTACAAATACTTATATACTATCTCTACAACAAACTTGTAACTCCTGTTGCTTCATCCAGCTTCACTTTCTTCTGTAGACTTCTTTATTGATTATTCCATGCTCCCTTAATTTCTCCATTGCTTCCTCCTTTGTTTCAACTCTTTAAAATCTTCCACTGTAAGAAAATCTCAAAAAACCTGGATATCCCAGCTGTAGTTACTGTTATTTTTCTTCAATATTTGACAAACTTAGTGCATCTCTCTCCTCCACTGTAAAGTCTCATTGCATAAATCTGGAAAAACTTGTATCTGATGCCCCCCAAACATTATACATGATATGTTTTGCAATTTACGCATCAATTGCTCTTTTTTTGTATATGACCAGAGTCACACCACAATATCTCTTGGCAATTTTCTTCCCAACCTTTTCCATCCAACTCTATGTATTGCATTAATATCATATCTTGTAAAGGGGACATCTGGGAGGATCAAGGTAGCCCAATCCAGTACTGCTTGAATCAATTTTGCTTCATTTTCTTTACTTTTCTCCGGATATCCACGTATATGTAAATTTGATCAGCACTGACGATCACATATCTCAATCCAATACTTTTTCACTTGATGCATCATAGTTGTCTGGCTTTTTAATGTTATCTCATCTGAGTCTTCACTTCTGTGATATTTCGTGTCATATCCTGATTTTGTTTCACCAGATCTGTTATTCTTACATCCATATTATCCATTTTATCTTTTATTTGCTTCAAATCCTCCTTTATATTTGTCTTCATTTCTTTTATATTTATCTTCATTTCTCTTAACTCTTGTATGAGAATATCAAGTTTATCTGGTTGAGTCAGTGACTTCTCAGGCGATTTTTGCCTCACATCCATTTCTAAGGCTTTTTCCACTCGAATCAGGTGTAAATCTGAAGGTCTAAGGCCTGCTTTGGGTCTTTGCCAAACACTTTCTGCACTTTGGCTGTGTTTTGACATCCAACCACCAAAAATACCTTTTAACCTTCTAAGAATTTTTACACAGTCTATAGTCCATACATTTCACTTCCTCCCTTTTTCTTGTCCTTATCAACTTATCTCCATGAAAGCAACATGATGAAAATAAATAAATCCAAAGGCAGCAACTATCTTTATTACACATGCCTAATCAAGGCTCTGTCTTAAAGGTATTTAATATTTTCACTTTCTCCAGATCTCAACACTTCAACTGAAAGGAGGGAGTAACGGGCCTTCACACTGTACACTTATAAACCAGCTATTATATTTTTAGCTGTACTCCTTTAAACTCTCTCCAAATTCTTTCTCCTATCAGTCTTCAATCATAGAGCCCCTCCTCTCCCCATCAGCCTTCAAAAGCCTCTCAAGTCTCTTAGCCAAATTCAAAGCTTCTCTGGAAGAATGTCCAAATCCAAATCAAATACAATCCAAACTTCAGGAGGAAAGCAAGGGAAGTAACTCACGTTTCATCATCTCTTAAATTTTCATAGTGTTTAATTGGGTGTTATATTTCTTAATCAATTCTCTGCAATGGTCCAGAGGAGGCAGAAATTCAGTCATCCATCCAAGCTAGCTCCGCCCACAGAGCAAATGTATTCTTATTGCCTGGAGCAAATCACATTAAACCATCAGAGGGCCAACTGTATATTTAGGAAACCAGAACTTAATATAAACTGTCACTGGCTTGTACTATCCTTAGTATCATTTACATAGTCTCTCCTTTCCTTCCCTTGTTTTCCAGATGTCACTAGGCAAAAACTCTAGACTAGTGCTTTTGCTTTGTCACTTGGGAATAAAATATATCTTAAAAAATCTCAGAATCATTAGCCAGTGCTTCCCACTCAGTTAAGGAGGAGTACATCTGTTAAGTATTTTGAACAAGGAAAAACTTACAGCAGTACCAGCTTCCAATGTTTAAGCAGCCAACTGCCCAGAAAGCTGAGATGGCCATTTGTGATCATACATTTAGGAGGATAAGGGTGATGATGGAAGTACAAAATAATATTAGACAGAGTAACTTTATATCAGAATACATCAATTTTCTTTTCTTTTTTTAAAGTTTTATTAATTTTTAAAAATTACAATCTTTAGTCCTTAGTAAACAACATGTTGTCTGGGTTCAACTATTTAGCATTAACTTTTTCAATATAAATCTGTTCAATACTACACAATCCAGTATTTTTTCCCAAATCCTCCTTTCTTCTCCATATTTTTTTCCATTTCCCCTTCATTACCATTATAATTGTTGGTACTGTTAATATATACAAAGTTAGATATAAACATCTTCATCATATTTTACTAATATCATACAAATAACAATATCAATTCATAAATCAATAATGTCAATTCATTAATCAATATCCTATTTTTGTGCTCTTATTAAAGTTTGATTTCCCATCAGTATTTGAAATATCTTTATCAGTTATGATTTTCTCAGTATTAATTACACATTTCCTGTCTACCTTCTGCTTCTAGGGTCAATATAGCAAAATTACTTTTCGGACTCCCTTCTATCTTGGCGGTGCTCCCACAGCCTATTGGCTTGTAAAGTCAGTAGGAATCAATCATGGCTTCCAAGGGTGTGTTCAATTACTCATTATTAATGGCAAGCCTATTGACATGAGACCCTGGCCTCTGGGAAGAAGCCTTAGTGGGGCAGATGTTGGTAAGTTCAACATAGTTACCATTAACTCATTTGTCTCATCCATAAAACCCAACTTATCCAGTTTAATAATGATATTGCATTGAGCTTGTTCTATATTATAGGTTTGTTTTAATTTATTTATTTGTTAGATTTAGGTTCCACCTTTCCTCCAGCAGTAATAAGTAGTACATATATAATGTCTTCTTTCACTATTTTCCACAACAATCCTGTGACGCAGACTGGCCCAAAAGGGGTGGAGGCCAGGAAAAGCTGTTTATCAGTTGCTGTTCTAGCCTTGTGGAATGGACTCCCCAGAGAAATTAAGACTTGCTCTATCCTATTTAAAATTCTGGAACCTACCAGAGTTTTCTACAGAGTTGGTTGAAGACTTTATTGTTGTCCTTAATTTATTTCACTTTGAATTACTTAGATTGATTTATTAATATTATTTTATTTGAACTTTTAATTAATTTTTCATTACTTTATGAATATTATAATTTATCACATTTTTGTAACATTGATTGGTAATTGGTCATTTTAATTTAATTTGCTTATATTTACCATAGATAATTTTATTGATTATTTTGTAAATGACTGTGTTTTACAAGTAGAATGAATAAATATGTCAGTCAATCAATCAATATCACATATTGAGCTTCTATAGTTGTAGATGGACTAATCTGAATATCCCAGTACTTATTCAACACTTTAACTACTACACTATAAGTTTCTTAAGTTAGATCCCAATATAACAACATTTAAAGTAGTTTAATAGGATAATTTAGTGAATCAACTCTAAATTGTGACTGAATCTAGATCAGGGGTAGGCAACCCTGGCTCTTTTATGACTCATGGACTTCAACTCCCAGAATTCCTGAGCCAGCCATGCTGAGGGGAGAGGGAGAGGTTTCCAAGCTGAGCCATGCTGGCTCAGGAATTCTGGGAGTTGAAGTCCACGAGTCATAAAAGAGCCCAGGTTGCCTACCCCGATCTAGGTCTAACTCAGAATAATGACCTTAGAGTAATGAGTTTTCTTAGAAATATAATTCTGTGTTCTGTTTGTTTATTTGTTTAGGAACAAATAGTCCAAGTTTAATGATCATTCATTCAGCAACTGTTCAACATCATGACTGCACTGAATGAATGGTGGTTATGGTCCTTGAAGTTAAGGCTGATGCAGCATCCTTGCAGTCACATCATCAAAATCCAGGCACTTGGCAGCCTGCCCACATTTAAGATTGCAGGATACCCATCAAGTCTCTCAAATACCTACAGTATCTTTCTCCCATCTCTGACCTTTTAGCATCCCTGTCCTCTGATACTCCTGCCACCTCGCCCTCCAACATCCCTGCCACCTCCATTGCTCTGCATGACATGGCCTTCACAAAGCATCCCCAGGCTGGACTTGCTTCACAAGCAGTGGGAAGAGGAAGACAACATTGTCTACTCATTCAGCAACTATTTGAGGTTACAGCACTGAATGAGAGGGACTTATGATAAGTACTCACCGTTGCAGCTGCTGTACATTCCCATGATCATGTGATTGTGATTCAGGCACTTGGCAGCCGGCTCACAGTTACGACATTGCAGCATCCTGCAGTCATGTGATTACACTGCTGGCTTCTGAAAGCAAAGTTAATGGGGAAGCTGGCAGGAAGTCACACGATCACACAAGGCTGGGACTACAAAGATTTTGACTAACAATAGCAACTGGAGTTGCCAGAACTGCCGTCATAAGTTTATGTGGTCATATGACATTGTGTTTTACAACTGCATCGCTTAGTAAAGGAATTCCTAGTTCCAATTACCCTCAGCTGGGACTGTCTGTATAAAGTCATATGCAAGCCAGGTTCCTTTGTTCACTCCCATCATGCCCTCTTTCCATGGGCTATGTAGAACAATCAGCTTGTAACTGCTCTCAAAATTGGGTAGGGAAGGAATGTACCAAATTTCCATGCGGAGGGAGTGAAAAAAATGGGAGGTCCTATTAGATGATAATGCCTTATATATGGGATCTAGAGGAAGTTACGCCTATTAAATCAGCCTGGATAGGCAAATAAATAAAGGAGAAGCTGGTCCCTCAGAAAACCTGTTCCAGAGCCATCTAATGTCTTACAAGTAACAATCTTGAATCACAGTTTCTTGCAAATTCATCTAAGCCATTGAATTTGTGTAGAAATTATAGATGGCATTCTAGGAACAATCTAAAGGATTGTCCCTGTCCCTGTGGTGTACCAATGATAGAAATAGATACAAAGTCAATTTTCATGTCTAGTATAACTTAGATAAGAGGTCATCGTTTTTTCTTTTTATAACATCTATCAAAAGAGGGCAGTAACTGTGATCAACCACAGTCAGAGTTGTTGAACTCTCCCCTGGATAGAAATACCAGGTGTCTGTGGGATATTAAAAAAGCTAATAAATTGACCTAGAAAGCCGGCACTGAAGAAAATAAGGTCTTGGGGAAGCCTACTGTGCAATTTCACGATAGAGTGAGAAGCTATAGAATACTACAAGACTTGAAACTTACAAGAAATTCTCTCTGATCTGCACTGCTTGTTGGCTGCCTTTACCACACAGCTTATCAAAACCCACCATATTAAAATCCTAGTAGTATATTCATGTAAAATACAACATTTAAAAGAGAAGCTGTTTCTTTAGGTTAATTTGTGATGTTGAGTTGAATGTTAAGCATCAAACTGTAGCCAGATTAATAACAAGGACAACCCAAATTTTAGAAACTTAACATTTTCAAATCTGTGGTTCTGTTCCTTCTACCTAACTGTGAAACTACTTCCCACTTCATAGGAAATGTTTAGGGCTATGTAGGTTATTTTTCAAATGCAAGCAGTTTTTAATTCCCTTTTCCCAACTGTCCTTGTATGTGGATATCTTTGGTAAATCTATGCTTTATGTTGCCTCGTTTTGAATATGAGAAGGATAACACTAATTGAATGAACAGACGGGAGCAGAAGTGATCCAGTCGATAACATCTACTTCAGAATGTCTTTGATTGGATGAATGGGTTTTTATTTCTGAGGCTTGAGAACTCCATTTGATGTTTCCTTTTCAAGATATGATCAAGGCTGTATTTTATTTTATAGGATTTGTTGCTTTGTGGCATTTATATCAAGTTGGCTCTTCAATCGTTTGTGGAAAGGTGTCTTGGTTTTCATAAGTAAAAAAAGTCAAGGTATTTTATTTGCAATGCTATACTGTACATTCTTACACGAACTAAGACATACTGAATTTACTTGGACTTACTTCTAAATAAGCATATTAAATGTAAAGTGTTTTGGAGGCACGTGGTATGGATGTTAGACTCAGTTAATCCACAGTACCAGTAGTTCCTGCTATTTTCTGTGGAATCTGTGAATTATAGGAAATTCCCCTGGTTTCTGATGAATCCATTGTTTGATTTTCTCATTTGGATTCAGGATTACAGTAGGCAGGGCTTTTTTTCTCATAGAACACCCAGAATGGAGTTCCGGCACCTTTTTGGGATGGAACCTTGTAGGGTAGACAAGGCGGGTTGTATGACGTTTGTGAGTTCCGGCACCTTTTTTTTAAAAAAAGAAAAAAAGCACTGACAGTAGGCCAACTATAGGTAGTTCTACTTTATTTTCTTGTTCATTGTCCCATCTGTCTGATAGGGGTTTTTTTTTTCTATTTGATACATGCCCATCTTTGCACCTTATTTTGTACTTTTTTGTACCTTTTTTTTAAAAAAAAGAGTTCCATTTGATGTACTTGACCACTAAATCATGTCAACAGATCTAGTGTTTTAAGACATCCTGTCTCTAGATATTTGGGAATCACTATCTTCTCATATCCAACCAATAATTTTAGAACCTAGAAAATTCTGGGATCAGGGCATTGTTCAAGAGAGTCCACATTTTGGGTGGAGTTTATGAAATCTTCAGGAATCTTCCCTTTATATAGTGCCTGTATATCTTCTGGTTGTGAAGATCTAAAAGAGAGGAACATAATATTCTTTACAGAACATAAGAACTTAGCATGCAGTTTCTTGTTCAGTTGGTAGATGGATAGATTGTGAATCATACAAATATTGTGGCTTGTGTAGTATGCTTGTTGAATATTCATTAGCCAGAAAATGAATATAGCACTCATATTTATATTCTGAACTGGTGGGTTTCTGGCAAAAACCACTGATGAGGGATAGTATTAGAAATTTTGTTTTAATTATTTCTTACATGACGACCTTATGGAATATCAGTGCAAGGGTGCTATCCCGTATTTTCAGCTGATTCATTTTGGAATCGTTTGAAGGCAATATTGCTAAGACTATCCTTCCTTAGGAGGAAAATAGTGCCAAATTCTACTCTGTGCCTTGATAAAAGCTGTTGTTGTAATCTTGTAATGCTGTCCCTGCCACCTAAGAAAGAATCAGTGAATTCTGTTATTGATTAGATTTAAAGTTACTAAGAATTTCCAGGGTGACAAACTGAAATCCTGTCTAATAGGATTGTAGTCCTTATTCAGCAACCACTTATTCAACAACCACTCAAAGTTACAACAACACCAAATGAGGGAACTTACAACTCATGGTTGTGTCTGTTGCAGCATCCCCACGATCATGTGATTGCAAATTGGACAAACCATGGCAACTTGTTTGTAATTATGACAATCATAGCATCCCACAATGTTATTCACATTTACAACCTCCACTGCCACCTTCTGACACACAATGCCAAAGGGGAAGGTGGCAGGAGGTTGCAAATGGCAGAAATGTGATTTCAAGCTGCTGTGGCTGTGATTTATCTAACAAAGCAACTGGAACTACCAAAATTGCCATTGTAAGTCAGCATTTCATTTTATGATCATGTTGCTTAGTGACGGAGTTCCCAGTCTCAATTACCATCATTAAGTAAGGACTGCCTGCATAGAATTCCTTGGTTTTGTGTCTGTATATGTGTGTGTGTGTTATATGTTGGCTAGAGAATTACTCCTCTAAGAAATTCAACTCAGATTTAGGTAAGATTTGATTTGGAGATCACTTATTAGGGAGTATGAACTTGATTGCTGTTATGTATGGGTGCAGACAATTCCTTAGGTCAGGGGTCCCCAACCCCTGGGCCTGGGCTGCTACTGGGTCATGGCCCATTTGGAACTGGGATGTGTGAGTGGCAGGCCAGTGCATGCAGAAGCAGTTAAACTTGCAATAGGCCATTGCAGTTCAACTTGATGAGCGATGGGCAGGTTCCCCTTTCCCCCCCACTGGACCCCAAGCCATAAAGGTTGGGGACTACTGCCTTAGGTAATCAGAAGTATAGAGTTCCTCTTTGTCTAGCTGATACGATAGAGAAATAGTCCCCTTCTCTTCCCATTGCAAAGAGCGTCATGTGTTCTCAGTGTTTTTTTTTTAATTTTTGACTGACCAATTGACTCATTGACAAGCATATTCTCATGCTCCTGGCATACCAACCTTGATGTATGCCCATGTCTAGTGCCTGAGTGCATGAAAGATACCCTTCCTGGTTCGGTTTCCTGGCTGGGTTGAATAATCTGACTGAATAAGTCTTGACTGCTCTTTGTATTTAATTCCTTTTTTGTGTTATGTTTTAACTGTTTTAATTGTTTTTATAATTGGTCACCACCCAGAGTCACTGGTTTAAGATGGGCCATTATACAAATTGAATGAATGAATGAATGCTGAAAATTAATGACAACATCAGGTAAAATAATAAGGACAATCAAGGAGCATAAACTAAAGTTCACAAACATCCATTATAGAGATAAAGTGCTAAGAAGAAAGGGACGATAGCTTCTCAAAATAGCTTATAGGCTTCTCTTGAAGTTGGCATCAAGAGCGAGGTCCAGCCACACCTCAGTGGGGAGAGAATTTCACAATAATTAGCAAATATATATTATTCTAAATAAAAATGGCTCTAAATTACACCTTCCTGTGTTCATTTAACAGCCTGTTCTGTCCCATTTCTTCATTAAGTGGAGAGCTTTTTTTTCCCTCTTTCAAAGGCATATTTCGGGGAAAATCTATTAAAGAGTTCTAAATGTGTTTTTCTCTCATAATATATATTTTTATAAATTTTTTGCTATATGATTTTGAGCCAATAGCTACATCATAGCATTTCTGACATATATTATTTCAGGAAACAGATCAGTTATATAAACATTTGGAAGGGCTATGAATAACTGGAAAATCTGTCATTCAATCTCTTGATGACCTTTATTTCATTAAAGTAGCTCTCACCCATTGTTTAGGGATAATGGGAGAGATATTGCTGCGGGTTACTTGGTCACTTCTTTTTGTTGGATGCACAAATTAAAAAAAAACAGGTATTAGGGAGAAAACTTAATTTTACTCTATCATTTGCTATGCCAAATGTAGTCAGGATAAATGTAATGTATTCTGTAATGCCCACAAGACAAATCAATAATACTGTAAATGTTATGTGTTGTTGAATTAGCATTGACTTCTGGCATCTAACTGATCAAAACCCTGTAGTTTCATTTTTGGAAGTGGTTTGCCATTGCCTCCATCTTAGGGCTGAGAGTGAGTGGCCAAAGGTCTACCAGCTGGCTTTGTGCCTGTGGCAAGATTAGAACTCACAATCTCTCAACCCTACTGGCTCTTATAATTGTGAGACCACTGTGTTGAATGTAGAGTATTCCAGAGAACTGTTTGGCAAAGCCTGCTAATGCAAGCGAAACAGTGCATTAAAGTAGCTTCTAAAACATGCAGCTAATCCCAGTTTATTATTTGTGTGCTTACAGCTGCAAAATGCCAGCAGGAATTGCACAGTGAAGGGTTTGGTATGTGCACTCACAGAGAGTCCAAGACCATTTTCAGTGCAGATCCATGAGCATTTCAAAGGAGTGTCTTGCTGAATGTTTTGCAGGACATTGGAAATCTAATAATTCATCAGTAGATATAAAGTAAACTTGAAATGTCTGCATGATTTTTTCCACAATCAATTTTTTCAACTTCTTCCTTCAAGTATAGTAAAAGATTAGGTTTGCTATGCTAGACATGGTCTCTTGAGTGTACACATTAAGCCACATTATCCTGTATTACACTAACTCTTTAATGTCTAAAATGGTGGCATTTAAATGCACTTCAGAAATGAAAGAGAGTCAAATCTGCCAGCATTGACAATTGCCACTTTCCCATTATATAACAAGATAATGACTATGCTTATTATAGAAGATGTTCTATGCATTTACTTAATTTACTCAATTTGTAAAGCTGGCCACCTGTAGGTAACTCTGGGCAACTACTAGCAGGAAAACAACCACAGAAATAGAAATAGAAAGAACACATATAAACGCCTATATTGCACGAATCAAAACATATTTCACATAGATTAACACATATTGATGCTTATGCAGTACCTTGGTCCATTGCTAGAGGGAAAGGTTAGATCTTCAGGGCTTTCTAAAGGCCATAATAATAACTGTCATGCAGGAAGGGGAATGCTGTTCCACAGATAGATGCACTGTTTATTATAGCAGGGGCCATGTGACTTGCAGGAACATCTATCTCCAATGGTTTCTGCTTGTCCCAATAGATCTGGCAGATTGGCATGTTTAGGGTCCCCAGAGTGAAGCAGTGTCATCTAATGGGTCTGAGGAAACATTTTATTCTCTCTCATGACACTTTTGTTATGGAACAATTCATTTCAGAGATATGGATGGACGTGACCCTATTAGCCTTCTGGAAGATTATGAAGACCTGGCTTCTCCTTCCTTAGGTACTGGGACCAGGACGTTAATAGAGCATTAGCATGAGCATGGGCAATATGTTGGTACAGATATTTTTATAGGGAATATGACATAATTTTTCCTTTTATTTGGATAATTGTATTTTTAAACAATTCTTAGTTCACCACCCAGAGTACTATAAGATGGACAGCCATGTGAATTTGCTCAATAAGTAATAAACAAAATCATACTAATCCCATCTGATCTTTTGGAGTGCACAGGTATAATTAGAGATAGGAGGTTAGAGCTTTGTAGATTACAACAACTTGAAATGTACCGATAACCATACTATACTTTGGCAATATGGATTATCTGCCATGCAGATGGAATATTTAACAAGTTGCATTGTGGCTAATAAATTGAGATCCTGCTGCTTAGCACCTCTTAGTGTAGGTTCTATCAAACATAGAAAAAAATAAGACAACTGAAGTTAAATGGCACTTAATCTAAAGATTGGAGTAGGGTGTGTAAAAGAACAAGAAAGAAGTTAATGAAGAGTATAAAATCTGGCAAGCAGTCATTTGTAGAAAAATGTTACAATTATTGCTTCATTGGTACCATTTTGTGAAACCTTTTGTAGCCTGGAATTCAGTCTCTTAATTAGTTTAGGTGTTACCTAGAAGGCGACACATTTATATGTCTACTCTGATGTTTGTATAGGGAACAACAAAGTATAATGGAAAACAAAAAGCTTTATTGAACTCTTGAGATAGCGCACATTTGTCCATTCAATCAACAGAAAGTGGCACCTACCAAATATAACCTAACTTACTTGAATGTAAGTCACTGCTTTATGCTTTTTCCCTGCTTTAGGTGAATGTAGCAGTGGGATTTGTGATGAAGCTTCTTGCATTAATGGTGGTACCTGCACGGCCAGCAAAGCAGATCAATACATCTGTCTTTGCCCACTTGGATTTAAAGGCCGCCACTGTGAAGAAGGTGAGCAGATATCTATGTCATCTAGAAATAGAGTTGTACTCTAGAATTTCTACAGGGCACCTGATTCAGGAAGACACACATTTTAATTCAAACTTACAGAATTTGGGTGTGGGGAAGAATGGAAGGCCAAATTTTGCTCTAGCTTATTTGAGATTTGTCAGACAGCCCAAGACTATGTTTTAGCAACACGTATGAAGTTCTCTAGTGGTTTCTTTGTTCCTTCTCCATTATTGTAAACTTCATTCCATGAATGAAAACAAATATATGTGTCCCAGGATAACATTGCAGGATTCAATCTGGATCAGTTACCAGAGGTTTGGTCTTCTGAGCTTTTGGACTTGTGCTGGAACCCATATTCTGGTGAGAGAGAAGTTCCCTGAGGATGGGCTCCAGCATGAGTCTGAAAGCTCAGAAGACCAAATCTCTGATAATCGACCCAGATTGGATCCTGCAACTTCCTTCCATCATGTTTCTGTCAGCTTCTCCTATTGTGGTTAGATAGTGACAAAAGCCATATCAATTATAGTGATCACAAGGTAGGGAAGTCCTGGTTTCATTCATAACCGTGCACAGTTTCTTTTTTGTTGTACATTACTTTATGGTAAAGGCAATGAATACATAAAATAATCTTCTGAAATATTTGACTAGCTTGATCATGGACTTACACAACTGCTGTTTCCTGTTAAAATGCCATAGATATTTAAACATTTTATCACTGTAGCATAGACGTTTGGAGCAAACCAATGTTACATCAAAATGATAACCTGTGCAATGATATCATAAGGCAAATCTTGGTGATACATATCTGCATCCCAAGCTATGAGGCACATACCTAATATTTCTTCACTTCTCTTCCACCACAGCAAGTGCCCATGTCCTAACAATTGATTAGTAGTTTCCTGTGAATAAATCAAGCTACAAAGAATTCTTTTTTAGTAACCACATTTGAGACTGGCAGCTAGGGCAGTAAATGAAGAGGTTGCTAAGTGAAACAACCACTGTGCTTAAGATCTTACTTCAGCTTTCCTTTGCTTTACCAACCGTGGATGTGAGGATTAATTGTAAAGCTACTTGTAAAAATTTGGCACAAAAGTCTTCACTGCGATTGGTTGCTAAACAAGGCAGTCACTAAGTTTGTTGTTTATTGTTAAACATCCATAATGTATTTTATATGATATAGTCTCTAGTACTAATTTCTGCAATGAAACGTTAATTTTGTTTATCATAAATAAAGAGATGGAATGGTCATTTTAAGGATTAATATGCTTTTATTTGCTTGGGTCTTTCAGTTTTCACCCTCACCATACCTCAGTTCAATGAGACATTGAAATCTTTTGCTGTTACTCCCTGGCCATTAGAACCAGTCAGCTATCTTTCTTTCATGGAATTTGAGATTACATTTCGTCCAGATGTGGCAAATGGTGTCCTGTTGTATAGTTACGATACAGGCAGCAAAGACTTCCTGTCCATTTGCATTGTGGACAGCTATGTGGAATTCAGGTTTGACTGTGGCTCAGGAACTGCCATTATCAGGTAAACATTTTTTTAAAAAAAGTATTTGTCCATGGCTTTCTTTATTTCAATTCTTTCCCATAAGGATTATCCAAAACAGTAGGTAATTAAAGTGAGAAATTTGTAATTTGATAAAAACCAAAACCAAATGTTACTAAGGTTGATATATTATGAATCAGGTTTTCATAATTTGTTTCATGAATGATTAATAGTTTTGTGGCACCCTTAATGGCTTATGGAGTGATCTGCAATCTAAATAATTTTCTGTGATCATAGAATTAATCATGGCTAGTCAGAAAAGAAAAAGAATTATACTGATTTCAGTGGGATTCACACACAGGAAAATGGCATTGAATAGTAACCTAATTAATGAAAGCAGAAAGCATCCAACTTGCGCTATAAGCAGGATATAACATGCATATTTTTTCCTATTAGTCAAAGTCTGTATTACATATTGATCCAGTGTGATGATTACCCTAATATCTATTGATTTACCCAGGATAATTAAACTCTTAACTGTTCTTACAAACATGAGGAAAAAGGCATGAGTAGATAATTTGGAAAAGAGGCAGCAAAGAAATTGTTTGGTTTATTGTTTTCTCAGCATTTTAAAAATGTATTTATACTTGGAGAAATGTTAAGAGTTCATCAGTGATAAGAAGGAAAGCATGAAAGGTATTTAAAATTTAAATTTATGTATTGTTAGAATTGACATGACATTTCTGCTTCTTCTATAAAAATTTACTAAATTTAACATGTCTGGGGGGATTCAATTTACATCTATCTGTTATATATTGGCTGTTTTTCTCTTCACAGATTAGTGACAGTTTATAAGGATTACCTTCATACTTTTCACATTCCTCCTGTGGGATGCCTCACACATCAATTGCGAATATCAGTCCTTTCTCAATGCCTCTTTTCATAATTAGAATTGTGCAGTGATTGGATATCCTTAGAGAATACCACATGCATAAAAAGCCCTGATACTGATTTAAATAAAACAAGTATCTGTCACAATCCACCCATTTTAAGAGATCCTTCATAGCAGAGCTATTTTACTCTTTCCACGTTCTTTGCCTTAGTTTTTAACTAAGGTGTATAATTTAGTTAAGGATGGATGAAATTTAGTTAAGGATGGATGAAATTTATTTTACTTTCATCAAGTTAGTATTTTTTTTTTTTTTTGAGATACAAGTTTATTTCACTTTGTTTTCTGGGGTCCACATAGGCAAACCTTCTGTGTAAATCAGGGATGGGGAAACGATGGTCCTTTTATGACTTGTGGACTTCAACTCCCATGGCTGGGACTTCAACTTCAACATGGCTGGCTCAAGAATTCTGGGAGTTAAAGTCCACAAGTCATAAAAGGGCCATTGTTTCCCATCCCGGTCTAAATAAAAAAAATCTATTTTTTTAATGTGTGCACTTTTTGCACTTGCTTTCCTCTAATATAGATTTTTTCAATTATTCTTCCTAAATAAGCAATAATATTTGCAATTTTCCCTTATTATTCCCCTTATGCATTTATAATTAGAATATAGATAATGCATTGTAAGGTTTTAAAAAGAAAAAAAATCAATGGATAATTGCATTCTGATGTATATATTCACTTGGAAACTTCAGGTTTGATCAGATTTCATATTAAAATTAGGATGAAATTAATTTAATCTCCATGTCTCATGGTGTATGTTTATTTCATGACTCATACTGTATGAAGCTCTCCAGCTACTCTATTTCCTCTGGAACTTTGGCTGATCTCTGGGAGATTGATAGTTGGTTTATTATACTTCTTTTATTAAAATAATTTACTTTAGTATTTTGATCAATTATTAAAATGATTGACAATTGCAGAGCCTCTTAAACTCTAAAACTCATGGCTAGAAACTAATCATAATAGTATAATATAGATCTATTTAAAATAGTATAATATAGATTATTTAAAAATAATCTCAAGCTGTGATGGTTAAGTAACAACTCTTGTGCTGTACTCTACAATGAAGCAATTTCAGCTTCTCATTGTTGGAACTTCCAAGCTGCAATCCAATTCTAGTACACAATTGACCCATAATTTCAGAAGTTTTTTTTTATTGCAAGCAAAACAATTTATTTTATTTATTCATTTGTATTTATAAAGTTGCCCATCTCACAAAATTTGGGTGGCATACACTATAAAAACAACCATAAAATAAATATTCTAAAATTAAAAACATCCAGTTTTAATATTAACATCCCTTGTTAGGTTTGCATATGAAGCCTTGGCCTCACCTAAGAGTGGCACTGTGGGCATCGTAACTATGAAATTGGCAAATGGTATAAAGTCATTGGATAGTGATGCATATTTCTGGTCTCCAATATATTGATCAAGTCCTAATCATGTCCTTGGTGGGGCTTGTAACATCATTTTTGTGAAGCCAGGTAGCAGAATATTCAGAATGAATTCTAGAAAGTCCTTTCCTTGATTTGAATAATTGGGTTTGGATAGGGTCCAGGTAAAGAGCACCAGGAATCAAAAAAGAAAGTTTTGCAAAGTATTATGCATCATTTGATTATATTTGCCATATTATGCTTCATTCCTCATTAGAACAATCTTTGTGGCATTTTGCATAAGACATGCATTTGCCTTCTTTTATGTCAAAGCATTACACTGACTATTACAATATTGTTGTTTAGGCTTCTCTAATACAGAATCCTTCAGATATGGTGGAATTCAGCTGACATTATGTCTTAGCTTGAGTCTAATAGATTTTACTCCCACAGATCTGAAAGATATTAATTTGGGAAAATTCTTTCCTTTTAAATGATTACAGGACTCCCAAGTTCTCAGCAGTATTTCTACTGTATGAAATTCTTAAACTTGAGATACTAAGACCTAAATATGTAATCACCTCATGCAAGTAATGTCGTCTACATGATTAATCTTACAAAACTGATTTCTCACTTTCACAGTGATTCCATTCATTGGATCAAACACCACTGTTTTGTTTTATCTTTGAAATAGGAGCAAAGACCCCATCAGTTTGAATCAGTGGCATCAACTCAAAGTGTCGCGCACAGCAAAAAATGGCATTTTGCAGGTTGATCAGCAAACTCCACTAGAAGGAATGGCAGAGGTAAGAAAAGATCTTATATTCACAAATATTTAATTTTGAAATTTGGGGTTTTTATTTTTTTGAGGGTTTTTGAGGGGATTTAAATTGCTCTGTATGTTTTCTTATTTGATACCAAAAATAAAAGAAGCCCTTCAATAAATTTTAATGAGATACTCTGCTGTGGCTAAATAGGGGAAGTATTTTTTTAAAATAGCTTTTTTAAATTTTTAAATAGTAATTTTATTACAGTTTCTAATTACAGCAATAAAAAACTAATACAACTGAAAAAATAGAAGAATAAAAAGAATGAGTAGAGGGCACAGAAAAGAAAAACAGATAAATAGAAAACAAAATAAAATAAAAATAAGGACAAAAATAAATATACAAAGAAATGACTTTCCACCTTAATCCCAATGTGCATAACAATTTCAGTAACTTATCACCTTTTAAAATAGAACAAATGATCTCTTTTTCCCATATCCCATTCTTATCTGTAAAGAAATCCATCAACATTGTCATTTCAGTCCTGATATCAGTGAAAGTTCATTAAGGGATACCAGAGATACAACATGTCTCTTTTGAGCTTGATCAAATAAATCAATTTTATATTCCTTCCTTTTACTTAGAAGCCAACAATCTTAATCTTTAGTCCATTCAAACAATGTTGTAGAACTTGATTTCTTTTCATCTTTTCTTTATCCATTTTCACAAAATTCTCCAAAACTTTAACAAGCCTCTTTTGTAAATCTAATATATAAAAATTACCCAAGTCATTTCCTTGTTTGTTGTTTGTATATTCCTTTTAATTATGAAGACATGAACCAGTTTCTTTTGTATGTTCAGGGTAGCATCTTTTTCCATATCATTCTTGTAGAAATCCGTTGTCAAGCCAATCTTAATCTTGTCAGGTAGAACTCGCTCCTCTATCATAACATCATTTCAACACACTCCATAAAGGCAAAAAATCTGCTGGATCCATTATTCAAAAATTTCTTTCAATATATCCAATGTTAAAATATTTTACTTTATTCTGTAATTGTAAATCAAGTTTAAATGTTCTTCTCCTTTAATCGTAATCTTTATTTCCTTCTAGCTCTCTCCAATTTTTAAAATCTTATTTTATATTTAAAAATAATAAAAACAAAAGCATTTTCCTACAGGAAGGATTCATTATAATTAATTACAAAATCTTGTTTCAAATTTCTCTGGACCCTTTGTTCCTTTTCTAAAATCAAAGTTTTAATCACTTTTGCTATTTATAAAAAGAGAAAGTTCTTAAATTGTAGTTAAAACTTCTTTTGCTATGAAGTGAATTCATCTGAACCTAAAAAAACCTGTCGATTCAGAGCTTCCTAACAACTAAAAAGCAGTTAACAAGCAATTTCCAAAGTGATTAGAAAAGGAAGTATGCAAATTTAATGTTCTTTGAAAGTGCTCATCTTGGATTGAACAGTTAGTTATTTCCTCATCTCCTAAAGTTTTATACTAGCCAGAGACTGCTATCTTGTGGTCTCCTTATGAGGGATACCTGTCTGGAGCGCTTCTGGGCAGTCTATTAGAAAGTCCTTGTCCAGAGAGGATTTATCAAAGAAAGGTCTACTTGCTGGTTCTTCATTCTATTATTGTCATTGGATCTGATTTTCCCAAAAAATATTATTTTGTATAAAGGAAAGCCAGACATGTGTCTTCAGTGTCTCATTTTCATTTTGCATTTTCAATACTTTAGTAGTCTAGAAGCAACCACTATCCACTGTACAGCTAGAGGGATATGCTTTGATTACTTCTCTTGCATGTATTTTTATATTTGTTATTTATTGGCAGGGAGCTTTCACACAGATTAAATGTAATCCTGAGATCTTCATAGGTGGAGTACCAAATTATGATGATGTGAAAAAGAACTCCGGTGTTCTGAAACCATTCTCTGGAAGTATTCAGAAGGTATCTGTTTTTTCAAAACAATGTATTCTCTATTGGCTAATTACATTTTTAAAGTTAAAATTCGATTCAAGTCTGTTCTATTCTGTTGCCTTATGCAGGTCTTGTAAGAGATCCAGATCTCATAATCAGTAAACAGAAACCAGGCTGCCCTTTTTAATGGAATTATGTGGAATTCAGAACTGGGCATGTACACATTTTCAGGATGAAAAGAATGAAGGCATCTGGCCATGATTTGTGCATCTTCCAATTTTAATTCCTTTTTGATACTGCTCAATCCACAGCCAGAGCGTCTGATAAATCCAAAATGTACTGACAGACATTCAGCTGAGAAGATAGGAAGAAATTTTTTAAAGAAAATTGTCCCCCAACCTCTGAGTCATTTGGTTTTATTCTACACAGTTTTACTGAAGCCAGAGGAAGGGAATTTTTTGGTACCCACTCCAAGATTATCATAGATCATCAGTTTGGGAGAGAGAGAGAGTCTGCAGGGACTTTGCTATGTCTTCTTGATGGCAGAAAAGCACCACCATAGATGTTTATTTAGTGGTTTATTTATTTGGGAAAATTTTAAGGAACATATGATTGCAACCTAAAAATTCTTAATCCGTTATTTCAGAGTACCAAAAGCCAATTTATTGAACAAGTCCCAAAGAGGCAAACTATGTAGGTGGCTGCTATATTCCCTTTTAAATGCACCCTTCCCTTGAAATGGGGAATTAAATAAGTTTTGGATCATGACGATTCTGTTTTGAAATTACTTTTTTTGTTGAGAAGGTCCTTTTACATAACTAATTTGGCCTGCAATAATTCTTGCAAACTTCTGTCCTGCTCAAACTCTTCTTCAGCTCAGGGATCAAATATCTAAATATCTAAGACTGATTCAATGTTTTTTGTTTTTTTTTAAAAAACAACAACCTGGAATTAAGTAATTTCTTAGCCCAAAAGAGCTCATTCATGGTACATTCTTGTCTTCAAACTCTTGAGGATAAACAGTGGAATCCTTTGGAAGATTGTTCTCAGGCAACATATTGATGAAAGTAAACAGATGTTAGACTGACCTCTCTGAATACTCTTTTCCTCTTCTAGTTTTAGTTGAAAAAAAAAAGCGTAACTTAAAAGATTTAATTTGATGGTTAATAAATAAAGTAATAAAACAGAAACTTTAAACTTTAAAGCTTCTTTCTTATCTCTTAAACAAAGATAGTTTTGAATGACCGGACAATAGATCTGAAGCAAGATTTCACAGCTGCAATCAACTTAGGGAACACAGTCCATCCTTGTGTGAGTGCCCCCTGTGATAATGGGGGCTCCTGTGTGCCCAAGAAAGATGGGTATGACTGTGATTGCCCTTTGGGTTTTGAAGGGCAAAACTGCCAGAAAGGTAATATAGTGCTGTAATCATAGCAATTTCATGTATATGTACACATTCTCAGTCATACTGTTTGTTTTTGTTGTTATTATTTAATCATATACAGTATGCTTTGTGTTGTGAAAAACAAAGAACCACAGAAGAGGCATAGAAGAGTTAATAACCACTGATAGAATAAGGTTCACAACTAAATTTCTGTGAAAGCTGCCACATTATGTGATAAGTTCATTCATTTTTTAATTTACTTACTTATCTTTCAAATTTTATCACAGAACCAGTGATTCTGGGCAGCGTGCAACAAACTTGAAAACAATAATTCAGAAATAATTATTATTATTGATAAATATTGTATTAATGATAAAACACAACTGAAAAAGAAGTAATAGGTGATGTTAATAATAATGGAGCCACTTCACTAGTTGATATTTTCCTGGAGTCTCCAGGCCTCATGGCTCAACCAGGTCTTGAAGGACCTTTGTAAAGTCAAGGGTAAGTTGCAAGGCTGCCTTAGGGAACGAGGATATTCCCAATGCAGGTGCCATAGCCAAGTTACTACTTAGGGCCCATCAAATGTAGCTCTCTAAATGATGGAAACCGCAGCATGCCGTCTTTGATGGATCAAATGGGATAGGCTAATACAATTGGGGAGAGGTGGTTCCTCAAATAAGCCAGTTCTAGTAATAGTAATAGTAGTAAAGTTGGAAGGGACCTTGGAGGTCATCTAGTCCAACCCCCTGCTCAGGCAGGAAACCCTATACCATTTTGGACAAATGGCTATCCAGTCTCTTCTTAAAAACTTCCAGTGTTGGAGCATTTACTGCTTCTGGAGGCAGGCTGTTCCACTGATTAATTGTTCTCACTGTCAGGAAGTTTCTCCTTAGTTCTAGGTTGCTTTTCTCCTTGATTAGTTTCCACCCGTTGCTTCTTGTCCTGCCTTCAAGTGCTTTGGAAAATAGCTTAATTCCCTCTTCTTTATGACAGCCACTGAGATATTGGAATACTGCTATCATGTCCCCCCTTGTATTTAGAAATTGCTTCTATGTCTAACTTAAATCAGCTTCTAGATTGTTTTATAGTTTGAACAAGAGCATTTGTGCATTAAAAAAGGGGAAATATGTTCTTGACTAGCTACCAGGATCACTTGAGAAACTTTATATTTGCAAATAAATCTCATTGTTTTGATTTGTACCAAGCTGAATGCCTGCTCTATCATCTTCTTCAGTGACAGACAGAACCGTAATAAAAAAATAAAGTAATTTTCTCTATATTTGATTTTGCAAATATCTAAATTGATTTGATTCATTCATTTGTTTAGGAAATTGCAGCTGATAATGCTAAAAAAAAAAATCCAGAACCCCAAAGATCCATGTTTTTTGTTGCTGCTGACTTTCTTTTGCACATCCCCAAATTTATCATTTCATAGGGTTGGAATGCTGCTCAGAATGTTGTTTATTTTCTGAATTTTGCACGCATACACACGCATGCACGGTTGTGCACACACACACACACACAATAGTAACTGTGGAGTGCCATCCCCCATTTGTTTAACTTACGCTAATCTGTCTCCAATTTCAGATAAGCTAAATTTATTTCATTACAAATTCCCATGGTTATATTGTTAGTTTCCTAAACTAATACCACCACTGAAATTCTGACGAATTTCACAGTTCAGGTTACTTTGAAGCTTCCTAAGCTAGAATTAAAAAGTTCTGTGCTGCCAATATACAAGAAGGAAAAACTTCCTCTTGTCTTATTCAGCAGGATTCAGCTCATGCTCTTAAACAAGGGGATTTATAGCCTTGTAACTTTATCCTCCTTTGTGTTAACTGCCTTTGCTGCAAATGCAGCTTCTAATCCTTTGCTACTCTTTGGATCTCTAGTAATTTGTCAGCTAGAACAAATACTTTCTTAGTCACACCTCAGAGACCACCAAAGAATTATTTACAAAAGTAAAGCGGAAAAGGAGTCTGTCCCTTGGTCTCTGGTGAACGGAGAGATTTCTTTTTAAACTGGAGGGCTTGTTAAGCAGTCTAGCTTTTCCAACAACTAAAATGCAATGCAGGTATGCTCCAGTAGGTGACAGTATATTCCTTTTTGCTGTAAATTATTTGTTCAGCTCTGCAGAAGACTTTCAAGTGTTCTCTTTCCCATTCTTTTCAATGGATGAAGGCTCTCAACTATATAGTACATGTCTACTGGGGATATCCTGTAATTTCTAGACAAATGTTCTCAAGAGTGTTATGTGCAAGACATATTCCTGTAATGCAGGGATAGGCAAATGTTCATGGACACCAACATTCTCGCAATTAGTGTGCAAGCGGTTCTCAACCTCAGCAACTTTAAAATGTATAGATTTCAATTCCCAGAATTTTCCCAGCCAGCCATGGGAGCTGAAGCCCACAAGTCTCCAAGATGTTGTGGCTGAGAAACACTGCTCTAGATGCTTGCTAGTTTCTCAAACTTTAATGTTTCCCTGGTTTTTAAATGTGTTTCTAATTTTGTTAAAAGTAAAGGAAAGGTGGCAAAGATGCAGAACAGAGTCCCTGCCTGCAGGATCATGTTTATGTGTAATCATAACTCTGAGCCTACCTAGACTTTTCTATACTCCAGAATCATGTAGAATCAGATATTTTTTTATTTACCTGCCAATCAATAGATAAATAAAATGAATGGATGATTGTAGCACAATGGTCTGTCTGGAGGAGGCAAATCCTCCTATCCAGGAAAAAGAGATAGAGAGAGAATAAATAATGCCGGGTGGATGTAATTCCAAGGAGGAAGAAGGAGTTGCAGGAAGAAATCCTAGTTTGCCTTCTGAGTAAATGCTTCACCATACTTATTTTGCTTAGAGAAAATGATGTGTCTTGACTAATGGGAGTGCAAAAACCCATTAGCCGTGTGAAACCAAAGTGAGATTTAAGATGACTTAATCAGAGTGGATTTCTTATTTCTTAATCAACATTAAGAAAACCAAAATCATGGCATCCGGCCCTCTCAATTCCTGGCAAATAGATGGGGAAGAAATGGAGGTAGTGACAGATTTTATTTTTCTGGGCTCCAAGATCACCTCAGATGGGGACTGCAGCCAAGAAATTAAAAGACGCTTGCTCCTGGGGAGGAAAGCTATGGCAAATCTAGACAGCATACTAAAAAGCAGAGACATCACTCTGCCAACAAAAGTGCGTATAGTCCAGGCCATGGTTTTCCCAGTTGCAATGTATGGCTGTGAAAGTTGGACCATAAGAAAGACTGAGTGCCAAAGAATGGAGGCCTTTGAACTATGGTGCTGGAGAAGACTCCTGCGAGTCCCATGGACTGCAAGGCGTTCAAACAGGTCAGTCCTAGAAGAGATCAACCCCGACTGCTCTTTAGAAGGCCAGATCCTGAAATTGAAACTCAAATACTTTGGCCACCTAATGAGAAGGAAGGACTCACTGGAGAAGGGCCTAATGCTGGGAAAGATTGAGGGCAATAGAAGAATGGGACAACAGAGAATGAGGTAGCTGGATGGAGTCTTTGAAGCAGTAGGTGTGAACTTAAATGGACTCCAGAAGATGGTAGAGGACAGGAAGACCTGGAGGAACGTTGTCCATGGGGTCGTGATGGGTCGGACACGACTTCGCAATTAACAACAACAATCAGAGTGGAAGATTTTAATCCAACAAATAATTTTGAAAAGTATTAGCTATAGACCATTGACCTGATTTAGGGAGAAAAATATTCAGGCTGGTCTTCTGGTATGGCACCTTTTACAAAAATGCAGGGCCATCATTCATATCTGATCACACCAATTGCAGCAGCCATCAGATCAGGGTTTTGCTTTCTTATCAATGACATCTGTGCATGAGTACAAAGGCACAACTTGCAGTAACATTCAGAAGAAGGCTAGTATTTATCTGAGCCAGATTGCCTTTTTTTTTTCCTTGCAAAATTCTGGGTTAGAATGTTACAGTCGTAAATTTGTGAACCAACCTTCATTAACGGTTACATGCATAAAACTGCAATAGAATATAGAAGGGGTTTTCTTTTTGCTGCTGAAAAATAAAATCTGAATGTTTTTCTGCTTTATGCTGTTCCACTGAAGAATGTGGAAATTACTGCTTGAACAGTAAGTAACATCTCTGAAATGTGTTGAAGAACTGTGCATAAAGTTCGCTTTTAGCTATGATGACTCAAAAATGATGAAAGATTGACTTTGACGCCACAGTGTTTTGCCGTGTTGTATCTTTTGTATTGTTGTAATGTTGTTTGCATCACAAGGCACATTTCATCATCTAGCCTCCCTTGTCTCCTGGACATGCCTATGATTAGATGTATGATTATGTGTCTATGTGCCTCTTTTGCAAACTTTGCCATATGATTCAAACTGATTTTTACAGCATCTCTAAATAGTATAATTCATAATCATAACCTGAATTATAGGTGTAATGCCCAGTACATTATTATCAATTGGCTCATATCCAGCTACTTGTTTTCTTATTTATGACTGGTAAAAATGTCCTGCATATTAACTATATGTAGGCAATAACTTAATAAATGGGTAGTGCCATTTGTGAGTGGGCTTGCACAGCAGATTTAAAACACTAAAAAAATATTTCAAAACCCAAATTTTATAAATCAGGAAATGATTCAATCCGGATTTTGCACTTAAGCCTTCATTTGCTGTAGTCAGTATGTTCAAAGATTTGAAGAACTGTTGTCCAGAATATTTGGAGAGGTCCAGAATATTTAGAGCCAAATGCACAAAATTAAATGGCCAAACCCGGCATGCTTATGTGAACTGTTAGTGATGGTAAATGCAGTGTAGAATTTTATGGAAATAAGGGATCAAGCTCGCATTGAAAACTTGAGGAATTGCAATGAAAGATTTTGAAATCTGATAATTTCTACTTTTCAAGCTTTATTTAGATTCTCCTAACTCTCATCTTATGTTTATTCTTGCAAAACTATTCAGAATCCAAATCATGGAATCACATGGATTCTGTGGAAGTAAAGAGGAAGAGAATGCTCCCAGGGATATGGATATGAAAAAGTTAATTTAATTAATCTTGATGGTGAGCAGTGTCCAGCAAATCCTGGGCAATTCCTAGCTCCAGATCAGAAAATTTCTATCTCTTTCAAGTTATTTAAGAGGGGAGGGGCTTGTTTCATTTTTGCCATTCCTGTGTACTTTTCATCCTGGCTTGTTCTACCCGCTAAAGATCACCCACTACAATTCTGAAATTAAAATTGGAGGATCAACTGCCCGTGATTGAGATGATCCAGTAATAGCTGAAATGTTCTACACAGTGTTTGAATAAGTTCTCTAAGAATTGTTGCTCCTTGGGAAAACTGCAGCTGTGCTCAGAAGTTTGAAGGGCAGGTGTTGAAGAGCATCACTGTGAAGGGCAAGAGGGAGCTTTCACTGCTACTGGGGGAAGATTTGGGGGAAGACTGGGGAAAGAAAAAACAGGCTTGGCTTTGCCCTGGCCTGGGAAGAAATGAAGCTGTTCTACATAAGCCTTAGTCTGAAATAGACAAATGGGAGAACTGAGCACTTTAAGCGGATGAAATGTTGTTTTCTATAGAACATTACAGAAGAATTATTTAAAATAAAATAGAGGATGAGATCTGGCACTACAGGAGCAACATACATGGCATCAAAATTACTCATGCCACCTTCTCCAAAAGTCATTTGCTTCCAGTTTTCTTCGACACAATAGTCCATCACGTAATGTTGTATTTGGGGTAACAATGCAACGATCAATAATAAATCTGAAGCATATACAGTATATGAAGCATATGCAGATCCTCCTTTCTTATTATATCCTTCCTTCAGCTGAAATTCAGAAAATTCTGTGTTTATTTACACAGGTGGTAATGTCTTACTTTCCATATAATGGTGTGATGGGATATTCCTAATTCATATTTATCACTTACTGTTATTGCAATGAAAGACCATAAGATCCTTCTCTAAGTTTAACCTGTAGAATTAAGAAGGTGAAGGTGGGGCCTTGAATCACAGTTAATCAAAAATTATTGACTAAGAATCTTCTGAAAAAATATATGTTTTTAATGTTCCCTTATGTTTGTTGATATAAATCACTGAATGTATAAAACTTGAATTTTGATATTAAGTTTCCCTTAACATTTTAGTTGTGATGGAAGCCATTGAAATTCCACAGTTCATAGGTCGCAGCTATCTTACATACGACAATCCAAACATTCTTAAAAGGTAAATGCATACAGTCAGAGCCTGAGTTTTGCTTGTAGTTCTGTCATTCAGAAATGCTCTTGGATATGTGAATGGTTATGGTTTTACGCAGGCAAATATTAAAAGCATATGAACTGTCTTTTCAGACTTAGATTAAAATCTGTTTTGCTGTATTTTAAAACATGCTGGCACCAATGCTGGCACCAAGAGGTGGGTGTGTAAAGGATCAGGGTTTTATCTTACTAAGTAGGAAAATATGGTAGAAAGGGAAACATATAAAGCTACAGTGAGAGCCAAAATCTGACTTAGATTTCTTTAAACTGATGCCCTTTAGTTGTGCTCAGGGCTTTTTTTCTCATAGAACACCCAGAACAGAGTTCTGGCACCTTTTTGGGATGGAACCTTGTAGGGTGGACAAGGTGTGTTGTATGACGTGTGTGAGTTCTGGCACCTTTTTTTTTTAAAGAAAAAAAGCACTGGTTTTGCTCATATCAAAAGAACTACTTTTGATATGGATATGAACCACATCACAGAAGGTTTACTCATATGTACAAAGTAAACAAAACCCAGTGCTTTTTTTTTTTGAAACCAGCTATATTTTTTTTTAAAAAAATGTTATTTGACACTTTACAACTCAACTAATGATTTCTTATTCCCCAAAGCCAATTTGAGGGTATACTTATCAGATCTTTAGGAGAAACATCCGAATGTTATATTATCAGAGGGGGGAGAGAGGAAGATTATGTTATTTCCCTCCATGCCACTGAAATCCTATTTCATACACCACACAGAGTGTCAGGATCAAGAACAAATGTGTTTATGAGATTTAAGACTTCACTGATGGATGGTCTATTGTTATGGAGAGGTGACAGCCCAATGCGATCCAACAGTGACTTCATCTCCCTTGGTCTTCAGGATGGTTCCCTGGTCTTCAGGTAGGCTATCTTTTCACTTGGAACAGGCATGGCTATGGTATTTACATAATTCATGCCCTGAGTTGTGAATGAATGTATTTTTTTCTGTGTAACTGAGTTGCCCATTTCTTGAAACAAATTGCAATTTCTTAATGTTATTTTTTGTTTAAAAAAGTGTTAGTCTCACAGAATCATACAGGATCCAGCATTCAATGAAAATATTTGGGGATGGTGGCTCATTCCTCATTATAACTAATACTTCATCTAATGAAAGATGAAGTATTAGTTATAATAAGTCCTAGATATCTGTTCCCAGTATATTGGAAAGTATAATCCTTTAGAGCAGTGGTTCTCAATCTTTTTAGACTGGCGACCCCGGTCATAAGCAGGCGGCGCGCATGCGTGACCCCTGTGCGGCATGCATGCATGACACCTCTCCCTGCACAGCACGCATGCGCGGTGGCAGCCTCTGTGTGACGCGCATGTGCGGCGCCCCCCTGCGCCGCCCCCTGCGCAGTGCGCATACACGGCGCTGCCCCCCTGCACCGCCTGTGCCATGCATGCGCAGCGCTGCCCCCTGCACCACCCCCTGCGCAGCGCGCATGTGCGGCGGCGCCCCCTGCACCGGCTGAGAAAAAAAATGACAGATCGCGTTGTTTGGCGACCCCTGTGAAATGGTCGTTCAACCCCAAATGGGGTCGCGACCCACAGGTTGAGAACCGCTGCTTTAGAGAGAAAAAATAATAAGGGCATGGATGCATGTAGGGTTCTGGGTAATAGACATAAATGTAAAAATAAAATCCTGTTCATGCAAATCTCATATAGCAGAAAATATGAAAAGGAGAAAAAAGGTCCAGGATTTATAAGTTGTTATTGGAGTAGATCAGTGTTTCTCAACCTTGACAATTTTAAGGCATGTGGACTTCAAATCCCAGAATACCACAGCCAGCAATGCTGGTTGAAGTCCACATGCCTTAAAATTGTCAAGGTTGAGAAACACTGGAGTAGATGAAGATGAGATACTCCTTATTAATTGTACATGTTATTTAATTCATTTCGTGTCTCAGTCATGTACCAAAATATTATCATAAATTAATATGACAACCCAATTGTAGAGCAGTATTTGTCAACATTGATCTTTTTAAGTTATGTAGACTTTAACTCCCAGAATTGCCCAGCCAGCTGACTGGGGAATTCTGGGAGTTGAAGTTCACACAGCTTAAAAAAGACAAGGTTGAGTAAAACTATTGTAGAGAGAATCATATTGCAAGGTACCCCTTGTTAGTAATAGTATCATTATTATTATTTTGAAAATAATAATATTGTTTTCTATCCAAGTGCAGCCTCTTTGGTGGTTCCTCTCCCTTGGCTCCAGCTGCATAACAGATATTTAGAAGTCAAGACCATAGTATTACAGTAACAGGTCTCCTCCATCTTGATTTTGGGAGTTCTGTTATGTAGTTAATATTGCTGCCAAAGGAACTATAATTAAGTAAAAGTGTTTCAGTCATGAAAAGGAAGGAGGCATCAGTGGGTTACAAGATCTTTTCCTGCCAGTCTTTTTCTACACAGTCCTACAAATATGTGTTAGGAAATGCCATAGGTTTTACGTAATATTACAGCCTTAAGCTCAAAAGAATACTTATCCTGGATCTATGTCAGTTATATTTCATATTTTATCATTTTTCTTTTCTTTCCTTTGTTATTTATTTTACTGCTTTTGTTTTTGTAATTGTTATATTTTACTGCTCTTAATGCTTTTAATATCCTTGTAATCTCCCTAGAGACTCACAGTTATCAGAACAGAATAAAGGAAAATAAGTGTTGTCCAATGATTGTTGTTTAGTGAAAAGGAATGAATATGATTGTATGTTCTCTAGAATCTGTTGACTCTTTTCCTTTGTTTTCAGTTACAATCTGGGCAGTGGCATTGCTTACATAATAATGAATGGCTCTTTCAATGATGGCAGATGGCATAAAGTTAAGGCAGTTCGGTAAGTTGTAATTCTTGATTCTTGAATAGTTCTGTTCTTCAATAAACATCAATGTGTAAATCCACTTTCAATATTCTTTTTTTTAATAAAAGTAAAAATGCAAGCCGTATTTCCAGCATGGTGTCCACCATATTTTACATGGTGGTCTGAAGACTAGACATCTAAATTTTTCATACAGATGGCATGATGGTATATCATGATGAGATGTCTTTGCTTTGTGTCCTCATAACATTGGGAATCTGATTTCTCCAGTGTGTGATTGCCAGCATATGGGGCCACAGAACAAAAACATAGGTACCGCTTTGTAAGCCTGTAGTCTTCTCCTTTACTCAAAGGGCTTTCTTCCCCTTCTCAAGCTCTGCGGTCGTCCTACAGTTGGCCCATCAGTAGAAAGCATCTGAAACATGTACAACCACTTATACATGTTCACATAAGATACATTATTTGATTGTGGGAACATATCTTTTTATCAATTTAAGGGATGGACAATCTGGGAAGATCACAGTTGATGATTATGGTGCCAGAACTGGAAAATCACCAGGAATGATGAGACAGTTGAATATCAATGGGGATTTATATGTTGGTAAGTCCGGCTCAATTCTTTTTTGATTTTATTTAATAATTATGGAGACGTTTATTTAATATTGTGTATTTTATATTTTTAATATTTTAATTATGTATTTAATATGACTTATAATTTTTAAATATTTTATAACCCTAACCCTCACTGATAACCAAGAAAATAGCTTTGGTGTTGTAGTGAAACAGTGTAATCTGAAGGCTGAATGTTTTCTTTCTTGGTTTAATATCTGTCCTGTAAAAGAAATCCCTGAAAGGCATAGACAGGATTATCTTACTGTTGAGTTATGTACCTTCCTTATCATCAGGTACCCAGTACTTTTTAAAACACTTGAATAAGTGCTCTGTGACATTCCATATTACTAGAATGGAAAAGACAGTTTGGCCCCATTTAAAGCTAGAGGATGTATGTGTGGGGGGGAAATCACCTTATTTTTTTAAATTATTATTTTCCAGAGTGCCCTAGGTACCATTTTCTAATAATACTCCCAGCCCCACAACAATAACAACAAGAAGTCTAAAAATTAGTCTCTTTGGAGTCCAACAGTGGTGTTCTGGCTACAGGTCATCCTTGCGTTTGTTTCCATGTTGTGTTGGCTTGATGGTTGAGACAAGAATGGAAACCTCATGCAGTGTTCAGTACAGCTGTGAATATGGGATGGAACCCAAGAACAACTCCCCACAATCCCCCTTTCTGTTTCCCATATTTTCCCTAGAGCATTGAAGATTTTCTGGAAAAGGATTTGGATAGATGATGGAGCTGAAAGAGAGTCAGTTAGGTGCAGTAGTGAAAGGCACTGGACTAAAGCAGAAGAGAGTGGGAGTTCTAGTCCTGCCTTAGCACAGAACTAACTTATGTTTGCGGGCCAGTTAGTTTCTCCCAGCCCTATGAAGAAGCCAGCAAGGACAAACCATTTCCAAAATCGTTTCCAAGTTTCACTCTGAGTTGTATTTTTGCCACATTGTCTTTTTTCCTTCCCTGTGTGTGCTTGAAACAATGCTAGATAAAACCAAATACAGAGAAAACACTTGCCTTGGAACTGACTGCCCTTGAGGACAAGATGTTCCCTGTAACATTTTATGATGATTTTTTACAACATTTACAACAGAGTGCTCCTAAATTGACTGTCTTCTGTTAGGGGAAAGATTTATGATCTGCTCTTTAGGGGGTTTTTTTCAGCCCACTGAAAAATTGAAGCTTGTTTATTCAGAAGCAACTTCTGATCCTTTTCAGAGCTTCCCATCTATTTGGGAGACACTGAAGGGATGAAAAGGTTGGCAGAGACCATTCATGTTCTCATTGATCTCCACCCTCACTTTTAAATGCCTAGAGAAAGTGGGGCAAATTGGCAGGATGTCTAGGTCAGAAAAGAATCACTTTCAAGGTGTCTCTGTAATAGAATGAATTGTGCTTCACTTGGCTTTTGGTCTTATCCTATTAAATGGAACTTGCTGCAATTTAATGAATCTGCTTTGGGCACTTTTCTGAAGGGGTTTTCAGAGCCAGAAAATGCCATACAGATCTTTATCAAATTTGTCTTTTTCTCTTGCAGGGGGAATGAAAGAAATAGCGCTGCATACAAACAGACAATATATGAGAGGTCTCGTAGGTTGCATTTCACACTTCACACTTTCTACAGATTTTCATATTTCACTAGTTGAAGATGCAGCTGATGGGAAGAACATTAACACTTGTGGGAGAAAGTAACAGACAGAAATCCATCATCACACAGATGATAGCGTTGTGTAGCAGCAAAATGACTGATCTTGCACAGTGAAGACTTCTCCCACGAAACACCTGGAAGAGTGAATCGGAAGTGAAGTGAAAGCAAAACAAAAGGGACCATTTGCCATTTCTCTTTTCCTTTGGATGTTGTGCTCTTTCAGTCATACCAAATGCTTTATAGGGACCATCACAATTTTTTTGCTACTTCAACTACAGGACAATCTCACCAAATCCTAGCACCGCTGCAAACATCTGGTGCTTTTCTTCACATGCCTAGTATATAAAACCTACAGTTCTGGTAGATCTATCTATCAGGCATGTCTGGTTCATGGGTGAGTGGCATTTACCAGGGCCAATTTACCCCCTGACTAAGAAATGGCTCAGATGTGCAGGAATTTGCACTATTTTGTTTATTTTATAGTTTTCTATTTTGCCTTTCCTCAAGAGCTCAAGAAGGCACAGCCCAGGCCGCCTCCTTCCAATTTTCCCTACTCTATCAGATAGGTTGGGTTTAATAAGAGTGACAAGCCTAAGGCACCAGTAGGTCTCTGGCCATGGAGGAGTGTGAATCACCCTGGCCTTAGCCCAATACTTTCAGCATTATACCATACTGGCCCTAGTTATGGAGCCCAGGGCTTCTGAGGGTGGGAGCAACTCCTGCTATATCTTACTATGCTTTAGCACAGAGCAAATTTTAAGGTCTCCATTTATGTTTCCCACAGCTGGGCATTTTTTGCTCCTCAGTTCTTCTCCTTTAGAAATAGCATGTGGGTTGACTTATCCATTTTAGTGGGTAGAGCAATGGTAATTAAAGCTTAATACTATCAACAACCATAGTTGTAAGGTAGCATGGATCAAAAGAGCTGGTCCCCAAATATATGCCTACTTCTTTAAGTGTGGTGCTAAAGCCAGAACCACTAGCTTAATTGTCACCTACAAAGGGATGGCAGTGAAGTCCACCAGCAGAGCACATGGAATTTATGTTCAACAGCAAGACCACTGGGACTATGCATGAATGGAAAAATGTTCTTTGGGTCTATGTGTTCTATTGACCACAAGGAACCATGAGAAATTGCTTTCTCCCTTAATATGTAGCCCAGGCCCACAAGCTAGATGGGATTGTGCTCCATAGTGGGTGCTATTTGCCACACAACTTTCAGAAAATTTAGATGAGTTGCTTCTAATAACAGTTTTGAAAGTATTAAAATTTGTTTGGATTTAGAATCCATTTTCAGAAAAGGTTTTCTGAATTGTTTGATTTATTTTTGGAGAAAAAAATTATCCTTGGCATTTCTTTTCTTTTTCTTTCTTTTTTCTTTTTGCAGTCAAAGACACTCCACTTGTTTAACAAAATCAAACACATAGATTAGTCTTTCTACCCTTTGCTAGCCTTTGATCATCATGATGTAAAAAAGCTGTTGAGACTCTAGAACAGTGGTTCTCAACCTTTCTAATGCCGCGACCCCATAATACAGTTCCCCATGTTGTGGTGACCCCCAACCACTTATATATCACCGGGTGCCAGGGGCGTGGCCAAAGAAAAGGGGGAAAAATGGCGGACAGCCTTGTTTGGCGACCTCCGTGAAATGGTCGTTCGACCCCAAATGGGGTCCCGACCCACATGTTGAGAACCACTGCTCTAGAAAGAGTGCAGAGAAGAGAAACAAAGATGATTAGAAGACTGGAGACTAAAACAAATGAAGAACAGGAATTGGGTATATCTAGCTTAATTAAAAGAAGGACTAGGGGTAACATGATAGTAGTGTCCAAGGGGCTGCCATGAAGAAGAGGGAGTCCAGCTATTCTCCAGCGGAAACAATGGATGAAAACTAATCAAGGAGAGAAGCAACTAGAACTAAGGAGAAATTTGCTGACAGAACAATTAATCAGTGGAACAACTTGCCTCTAGAAGTTGTGGGTGCTTCAACACTGGACATTTTTAAGAAGAGATTGCACAACAATGAATTGTCCCATGACGAGTTGGCCATAGTGAGTTGTCTGAAATAGTATAGAGTTTCCTGCCTGAGCAGGTAGTTTGACTAGAAGATCTCCAAGGTTCCTTCCAACACTGTTATTATTATTATTATCCCTCTCTGCGACACTCATATCATTGGCCCGCCAAAAGAAAATGTGTTGCTTTTTGTTAATGCTTTTATTTGCAAATAAGGAGGCTCTGCTACTTCCTATTTGCATGGATAAAATTAACATTACAACAAAAAAACAACTTTCACAAGGTACACACATACATGTCAGCCCAAACCTTCATAGAATCTTTGCAATTTTAAATGCACTCTTAAATTCTAAACAGGACAGAAGAGTATAATCATAGGGCACATGCACACAACAGCTTATTAGAACAGCTACAACAATATTATGCCAGCAGTTTATATTTACACAGCCTCAGCTACTTGTGTGTGAAGCACAACAGTGCATGCACACATGCACTGTTGCATTATCAGTCTGCAAAATAAATTTGCCATGACCAACTGACCATGGGAAAACTTGCTGTGGGACAAGAGTTATACTAATATTGAAGAAATAGTGGAATAGAACCATTAAAGAAAGAATGACAGGCAAACGTGAATTTAAAAAATTAAAATATTTTTTAAATTATTTTAAATAAATTGAATTATTGAATTGTCCTGCAATGAATTGTCCCATGACGAGTTGGCCATAGTGAGTTGTCCCTCAGCGAATTGGCCATGACAAGTTGGCCATGGTGAATTGTCCCGTTCAGGTGCAATGTTACCTATCTGCCCACATGAAATTCTTCACAGTCGTTCTTAAAAAAATATGTAGTATCTTACGAGGTAACCTGTCACACATAACAACTCTTGGAAATGTTCTGTTTGGACATGTAATTGTTTGCTTTTTGCTTCTCAACTCTCATTTCAACAATCCTGCACTCCTCCTAAATTTATAACAGCAGGAAGTTGACTGTTGCTGCTTCTGAACTGGCAAGTTTGAGGAAAGTTTGAAAAATTGTGTGCTACGAGGAGCAACCCTTTCAGAAGGCTCAAGATACTCAGATGGAAGCTGCTTGAAAAATAGAAAAATCTGTTTGTTTCACACTGTGAACAACATTAGACCTACTTCAAAACAAAATAATTAGATCAGGTCAGTTGATTTCAAAGTTGATCATTTTTAAAATTCTGATATAAGATCCCTTATCCAGTTTCTCTGTAGGTTGGGCAAATTGTAAGGAATGTTTCTGTTTTGTTCAGACTCAGAACATTCTAAACACTTCTTGTGGTTGAAGGTCAAAATATTTGCTATGCCCTAAGATCATAGTTATGAGGATAGTATAGTATTTTCCTTTTAATTTTTTAATTACATTTCATTATACAATAAAAATACAGAAGAAAAGAGTAGAAAACTAATGGAAAGAAAAGTGTAGAGAGAGAGAAAAAAAGTGGTGAATTCTGACCTTTTTCTGTTCAATACAAAAAAAGCAACCTCAACCTTTTGCTTTTCATTTCAATCCATTTCTATAATAATACAAATGCTAAAATCAAAGTTTCATTTTCTTTCAGTTTCAAGCAAAAAAATCCAGAAGTGATTTCAAAGTAGAAACAAAACTAGATAAATTCTTCTCCTGAATTAAAAAGACAAGCATTTTCATGCAGTGAGTTTATATAGATGGGATTACTGCTCCCTCAGTAAGTGTCTCTCCTTTCTTCTAGATGAAATTATACTATAAGGAAGGGACCAAATTAAACTTTTGAATTGCTTATTTTGTTTGCATTAAAGAAAGCTAAGAAAGATTTTCCTTAGCTCTTTAACTGAACATTCAAAACATCAGCTTGCTAGAGAAGACAAGGGAAACCAACAGAGGTAGGGAGACTACATCAAATATAATCAAGATGTGTGAATGAAACTCTGCCTTTTACAAGTGACACACGTTAAAAGGATGTGGGGTTTCAATCGAATGTTGTCACCGCCATATGATTCGTTGGACACCCTATAGAGGAGGAAAGTATATTCTGCAAATATGAGCTTCTTCCAGTCAGATGTTTTGACATATGTTGATAACATATCATGATAACTTCATGAGTCAGAGATGATCTCACCCCGTTGGTTTAGGCATAAACTATGCTTTCACAATTTCATCCCCCCCTCCATTTGAATGGGTGCATTTGCTGAGCCAAAATCACATGAAATATATCTTGAGATCCAAATCTCCTGAAAGTTTCATATTTGCTCCTGTAGGCTTTTAAGGGAAGCTTTGATGCTTATTGACTTTTCTCATTCACTTCCTGAATACATTAGTTTTAAGCAGGCATATGCTGTTCCCATATCATCTCCAAGTAGTAAGCAAAGTAGTTGGGTTCTTGTTAAAGTCCAACTGCTTTCCAATCTGATGGACTTGGCAAAGCCCCCCCCCCAGAAGGGAATTCTTTCAGGAACCCAAAATCCATCTTCACCCCAACATCTTCTAACAGACAAATTGAAAGTTGGAATAATTACACTTAAAATAATTGAGATGTTTAGATAATGTCTTTTAAGAGGCTGCTTTCGTCTACCAAAATGCCCATCCTATAGTACAATTTAAAGAACTTTGAGAAGCTTCATGTTAGTTTGAAATTCCTCCACAAAAGTTTGCATAAAAGTTTCATTTTCGATACAGTTAAACACCCGGCCTTTGCTTTTAGTAGCTTTTTGTCCTTCAGGTGAAAGAAGAGTGGGTTTTTTTTAAACAAGGTTGAGCTCAGTTAACCTTCCTTCGGTTTGCAGTTTCAGTTCTGGAATCTAAATTAAGTATTAATTGCATTTGTGGATTTGTCTGTTGAGCTTTGGGTCTAATTTAAAATGGCTCAGAGCTAAGGTATTTTCTTGGTGGCCAAATGTATTTCAGAACTAACTGCTGCTTCATATGAGACCAAATTAGGCATTTCCCATAAGGATTAGGTCATGCTTCAACCTAATCAAACCTTTATTACTAAGATTAGCTCCCTTTTTCACTGGAAATGTCATTATCCTCGTTTTGTTTTAATCTCCCTCCTCATAAGGAGAACTGGCATAAAGTCAGCTGAATGATTTTAGGGCATGCTGTTTTAACTTTAATAGGTTTGCAGATTTTTGGCAGTCTGAAGGCTTATTCAAATTCAGAGCAGAAAAGGTATTAGGGGGTCTGAAAGAGCATATAATGGAGACCTTTGGAGGCTTAGAGGGGGAAAAGAATCATCAGTGAGCAGCATATTCAGCTAGAGAGGTTGTGACTTGAGCAGTTTTCCTGTAGGGTAGATTTGCAAAGTTCTCACTTGAGCATCCCTATGCACACATGATGAATATGCATTGGCAGCTTCCTTTAGATGGCTTCTCCAGAAAATGCTACTCTTGACACTGCTTTATGATATCTTGGGATAGAAGATGCTATCTGGGGCCTCAGAAGCAAATTACTGTTTATTTCTATTCTCTTAAGTCGTTCAGAAGATATTTAACCAGCCTCTGATTTCCAGAATTGGTGCTGTGATGTTGGAGTTTTATAAGGGAGAACTCTGCATGATTGCTTCCCCTCCTTAAACTCGGTTCTCTCTCTCTCTTTTCCCCTCTGCTTGCAATCAGTCTGGTATTCTAACAACTGGTACTCTCTTTTCTAGTTCATAAACTTTTTTTGTTCATGTGGAACACAAAAAGCAGCACATGACAGTTTCTTCCCATCCACATTTTCAGTACATATGTATCTTTATTTGCCCCAAAGTGTGGAAAGATAAGAGATCAAATTGCAAAACTGCCAAGCTACGTTTCCTGTGCTGCATTTAATAGCATCTGAGCAGTGATGACATAGGGAATGGCACCTCAAACAGCCATATTTGTTAAGGGCTTCCAATTATGCTGCTCTGACAGTTCAGTCATTCATTCATTCAGTCAGTCAGTCATTTATTCAACTTATACATCCACCTACCTCAAATTCATGACTGGGCAGCTAATAACAGTTTAAAAAATACAATAAAAAACAACATAGCATTCAGGAGCTGAGGTACAAAAAAAGAACCTATAACAAGAAATCAGAATAACCGTCACACAAGCTTTGCCATTCATCCAAATCCCCAAGCTAAAAGGGTATGAAAGGTATATTTGCTGATCTTCTGGAAGAAAACTGTAGGAAAAAACCAGAAATTTCCAATGACTGACTTAAAAGAGTGGGAGAGAATAAGAAGATTAGTCATAGTAAAAATTGCATTTTCCATAATTTAATTTAATATTTAGTACAGAAAAAAGTTCATATTTTATTATAGTATT